GTCCCTAGTTGTGGATGAAATATATCGAAAGTTTTTTATATGATCTTCTTCATTATTCGGTGACTTATGATTGTTCAAGAGGACTTCAATTGCAAGTTACTTTGTGAAAACAGAATCGTACAGTATTTTTTCCAGTTGATCGGTTTCTTATATGAAAAACAAAATAAGTAACTTTGCGCTTTTATAATGACATTGTTATATTGATTCTTTTTCTATTTTGGCATTTGTTCAATTTCTTACAATTCTATCTAAAGAAAATGTTCAAAGTCTTGTAAGTGAATGAAAGATCAATTTTTTTTGGAGCTATCTTATATGGACTATGAGCGAAATTACGATTAAAAACCATTTGCTAAAATTATTTTTTTGTTTTCTTAAAAATACTAAAATTACATCATTTCATACGTACTCCTGCACACATAGTTAAAGTATCTGTTTAGACTTTTCAATGTTTTACAGAGAAAATGGATATATATTATTAAGAACTTTTATATAATGTCTGCATAACATTTGTTATCTACTAGCAGTCACCTTCTCTATTTTTATTGTGGGAAGGAGTATTCTTTAATCCTTTGGCGACGGGCTTTTTGTTTTTTTATTTGAAGAAATGCGCAAAAATTGATTTCTTTTTCCGTAAAAGCTTGAAACGGAGCGTATAGGTCAACAGGAAAAGTGAGTTTCACGATGGATCATCGCACTTCATAAGATTCTGAAACTCCACAATCAGGTGCATTGGCACAGAATCTTATAAAATCCTGCAGATAGTTACATGGAGAACTTTGAAATCCTATATCATAATACAGGTTTAATATAGGGTCGAATCCAGAAAACCAGTGAGGGAATGACGATTTACGAAGGGAGTGGCGGTCATGGTCAAAAAACGGTTTTCGAACCCTTTTCGAGGTGGGTGCAACTCTTTTTGTATTCATTTCTGCTGAGAACAAATGGGGAAAAAAATTTCGTAAGGAGGTGGCGGTCCCCGAACACGTGGATCCGCCACTGTAATTTATATGAATTTGCAATGATAGAAGTGCCAAAAAATAAAGAGCAATCTTATAAAATGAAAAGGCCAATAGTTTGTCACTCATATGATTTCGTTTTGTCGTTCATTGACCCATCTTACGTGGAAAAGTGTCCATTTCCTACTTTTATGAGTTTGATTATTTTAGAGGTCAACAAATATTGAGAATATGTAATATTTTATTGTTGTAATTTCTTTCGTCTTTATGTATTATTAAATTGTTTTGCTACTTTTCAAATCAATTTTAATATTGTTTACATAGATAATTATACTGGCCAAGCCCACCAATTATTACATAACTAAATATTTCGCTTCGACTTTAGTGCAAAATACTTGCCAATGGATGCTTTTTGTCACATAGGTTAAATAAAATGATGATGAAATTAGTGTTTTTAATGAAAAAGTGTACCTTGCAAAACAAAGTGTATAGTGCCCTAATGAAAACAAGGATTTGCACACTATTCAAGACTGCACACATCACGTCCAATAGAATCATAGATAGGGCCACTTTCACATCTTTCATATCCTTCTTTACGGAGCTTACGTATATGGCTTGTATACCACTTGATATAAATGTGAAGAGATACTGAAATAATACTTCGAAGAGTTGAAAGAGATAGAAGAAAAGAAAAACGTAAGAAAAAAATTCATCTTAAAGGATCTCAGTTGTAGTTTATATTTCAAAATTTCCAACGACTATAGATTCTGAGTTCCTTGCTCACTTTTTTATATAATATCGATATCTTTCTTAAGGTGAGTTTTAGACAAACGTAACGTAAGTGTCACAATGGTGCATCGGAGAAAGCATGACATGGATCTGGATCTTTTCTACACTCGCAGTCACATCCTTAAATCGCTGTGTGCTCATTAAAATGAAGACTGAATTAAGTGTTCTTTTAATAGAAGTTTTCTTCTACGGCTAGCCACCAGTTCTTCATCTCTTGTATATTTTGTACACCTTGGTTTACAAAACAAGGTGTACGGCTACATGGTGTCCTGAACAGCATAGTGTATCCCAGAGATGTTCACGGGTTGACCCGTTTTGACCCGACCCGGCTAACCCGTCAATCCGACCCGTAACCCGTACCCGGGCTAACTCGTTCACAAACTTTGCCTGTCATTTCTTTTCATTCTTTCGTTTCACAGATAGTTACGCTCAACATTCATTCTATTCCTTTCGTTCCTCTACTGTTTTAGTTCTTTTTTTTACTTCTTTGGTTCTTTAACATGTGAAGTCTTTCTTCCATTGTCCTCACTACATCTTCATTCTAGTTATTCACCCACTTGTTTCGAAGCATGCACTAAGAACAGGCGATTCCGATCCCAACAACATTATATTATCAATTCCGACACGATTCGATTTCGACAGTCAACAATTTTGAAATTGGTAACATTTTCATAAAAAATTATGCACTTTTTTCTCTGCATCTTAACAAACAGTTGAACTAGTGATTTAGAAACATATATAAACAAACATTTGATAAGCAGCAAAAGAAGACACTTCCAACTCTGTTTAGCATCAAATACGTTTAATTCAAAGGTTAGCGTGAATACTTTATAATTACTTGCTAATCAAGGATTAAGCCGTTCCAAATTGGAATCGGAGCTGATGATTCTGATCCCAAAAACATTTCATATTGCCGATTCCGATGCCCAATAAAGTCAACTTTGCCGACCCCTAGCGTGTACACGTATATGTGCGTTTTTTTAAACTTGATGATAGAAATACAAGATAACATCGACATTTTTTCCGTCCATTTATTTTATCATTTTTTTCACGCATTTTTTTTCTGATAATTTGTACGATAAAAATGTTCATCCGGTCTTATGAATATCAGTGTTCACTTCACAGTTTAGCCAACTCATGAGTGATTTTTTTAAACAATTTATGTTGTCAAAAGTCACGTTTCTAAAATTTGTATTAACCCGCGGGCTAACCCGTGGGTAACCCGTGATGGGTTGATAAGTGTTCAACCCGTGGAGTAACCCGCGGGTCCAAAGAAAAATTATTCAACCCGTGAGACGAGCCGGGTTCGATCACGAACAGGGCGGGTCAAAAAAATCTGTCATGAACATCTCTGGTGTACCCGTACATTCTATTTTAGATTCTCAATAAAAACATTTGATGAAATCGGATAAAACACATTGACCAAAAAAATTAGATTCACATATTTTAATGTTNCTTGCTAATCAAGGATTAAGCCGTTCCAAATTGGAATCGGAGCTGATGATTCTGATCCCAAAAACATTTCATATTGCCGATTCCGATGCCCAATAAAGTCAACTTGGACGACCCCTAGCGTGTACACGTATATGTGCGTTTTTTTAAACTTGATGATAGAAATACAAGATAACATCGACATTTTTTCCGTCCATTTATTTTATCATTTTTTTTACGCATTTTTTTTCTGATAATTTGTACGATAAAAATGTTCATCCGGTCTTATGAATATCAGTCTTCACTTCACAGTTTAGCCAACTCATGAGTGATTTTTTTAAACAATTTATGTTGTCAAAAGTCACGTTTCTAAAATTTGTATTAACCCGCAGGCTAACCCGTGGGTAACCCGTGATGGGTTGATAAATGTTCAACCCGTGGAGTAACCCGCGGGTCCAAAGAAAAATTATTCAACCCGTGAGACGAGCCGGGTTCGATCACGAACAGGGCGGGTCAAAAAAACCTGTCATGAACATCTCTGGTGTACCCGTACATTCTATTTTAGATTCTCAATAAAAACATTTGATGAAATCGGATAAAACACATTGACCAAAAAAATTAGATTCACCATATTTTAATGTTAAAAAAGAGTTGAAAATACTTTTGGATTGTAAGATATTGAGAAGATGTCATTAAATAGAAAGAAAATTAGAAATGATTTAACAAATTTCGGATTGATCAGAAAAAAAATTAGCAAATAAAATGTTTGATTTACATTGAAGTATTCATACGCGATAGTAAGTGTTGTCCAGCTAACTAATCATGTCCTAGGTATCAATAATGAGCATTTTCTTTGAAATTCGCTGAATTTCATCACACAATTTTGGAAATAACCTGAACAGCGAATGATAAGACTACAACAACAGCTGAGAGATTACTTCGCTTCAATGACGTCATTAGAAAAGTTCGTTGTCCTTGTCTACCTTCCTCCATTTTTTATTTATGTTCTTTTCTAAATAAATTTTAGTGCCTATAAAAAAAATTATTTTTGATAATAAAAATAAAAAGTAAAGTTTTTTCAAATAAATCTTTCTTATTTGTAGAAATGTCGCCACCCACAATTCGAATCACGTGTTTACTACGCGCCTGATATTTATGTGCATCATAAATGTACAATGACAGAGCAGAAAAAAGAGAAAACGAGCTGTTAGGATAGTACGAAGATTAATTATAGCATATGATCTTTCTTTATATGAGTGCAACTTTATTTTATGAATTAATTAATTAATAAAATTAATCGATCAATTTAAATTTTTATTTTCTAAAATTATCTTGATTCGATTTAGCTTCTTATTTCCTCTTCTCCTATAATATTTTAACAAATAATACAATTTTCTTCGTAAATTTCAAATTGTTTTATTTTCATTAGCTTGACTTATTTATTTATTTTTGTTTCTTTTTGTTCAATATTCAATCATTTGATATATATTGCCCCCTGTAAGTGTGATTCAATGATTTTTTTTTCTTCTCTCTTTCTCCATCACCACCCCACTGCCCCCATATCGTCGTCTATGCCGTCGTTTTTTTTTCTTTTTTCTTTTAACATTACATCGTGTCACGGGCGAATTAGCGTTCGCCTCTACTAAATGCTTATGGCAATCTTTCTTCTTCTCCTCGTTTCGTCGTTATTGTTGTCTTGTTACCCTTCGCTTGAAAAAGAATCATATATATATATATATATTTTCTCTAGATTATTCTTTCAAAAATAATTTTAAATATCGGCCTAATTGCGTGGCGTATTGTCTCTTGATTTCGTCTCGTGGAATGGCATTGAAGCGTATTAACAAAGAATTGCTTGAGCTTGAAAAAGAGTAATTTTAGAGAAAAAAATCATGAAACCAGATTCATTTTTTAAATAAAAATTTTTGTTTTTTTTAAGTCCGCCAGCTAATTGTAGTGCCGGTCCAGTCAATGATGACATGTTTCATTATAAGTGTTTTTTTGTTTAATCAATAATTCATGTTTTGTATGTGTGCTTTTTTTTACGGCAGGCAACAATAATGGGACCAGGTGATAGTCCATTTCAAGGCGGTGTATTTTTTCTTTCAATTCATTTTCCGGCCGATTATCCATTTAAACCTCCAAAAATCACGTAAATTTGATTTAAATGAATATTTATTATAAATTTATAATTTTATTATTTAGATTTACAACAAAAATTTTTCATCCAAATATTAATTCAAATGGAGCTATTTGTCTTGATATACTTCGTTCACAATGGTCACCGGCATTAACTATTTCGAAAGTATTGCTTTCAATATGTTCATTACTTTGTGATCCAAATCCTGATGTAGGAAAAATTTTCTTTTAAAAAACGATTTATTAATGAATATTATTTTTCTTTTTCAGGATCCATTAGTGCCGGATATCGCTCGTACATACAAAACTGACAAGGAGAAATATAATGCGGTATGAAATTATTTTGTACTAATTCAATAATGTTTTTTCTTTTTCTATTTAGACGGCACGACAATGGACTCAGAAATATGCCATGTAGTGTATGATGAACATTCAATCAACAACAGCACACGTCTTTTTTTTTTCTTCGTTTTTTTAAGCTCTTCTTTCTTTGTGTTGAATGAAAATGGACAGACAGAAGGTTCATATGTATTAACATCTTCTCGTTTTTCTTGTTTCTCCCTCTTTATTCGAGTGTATCTATATGTATGTACGATGCTTGTGTGTATTTAACGAAAGATGAGCAAAAGTAACAACAAATGGATATAAGAAAAAAAAACTTGAGTTCAAAGATTTGATTTTGTCATGTTTTTTTGTTTGACGAATATTATCTATGTTCTTCAGTTTTTTGTTCTTCTTTCTATTTGGCATCATGCTCTTCTTCTGCTCTCTGTGTGTTTATTGCCTTTGTCTGCTACACTTTCTCGTCATTTTCTTTATGATTAAAACAAATTCAACGAAATTTTATTGAATATCCTTACTAACTATTTGAGAAAAAGAGAAAAAAAAAAAACAAGGAAGAAAAAAAATATAGACTACTTTGAATCATTGGTTTAGTAAGAAAAGAAGAAGGAAGAAGAAAAAAACTAACTGCTGGTTGCTAGATGTGTTACTCATGACTTCGTGCTTTTGGACTTTGCACAGATGACTGTTAGAAAACTCTATAATAAATTTATATATATATATCAAATTGAATTTATTCTCATTTTATATTCATAGATCTTTTTCGATTTAATTCGCCTGAAGTAAATTCATATTTTAAATCCAATCTTTACGTAAGATCTCTCATAGATATATTTTTGTCTGTTGTCTTTTTTATTATTACAGAATATCAATTATTGTAATAAAAAATGAATAGATTTTTATTACAATGTAGTAATGTGGTTTTTTTTTCAAATCATTTATTAAAAGTTTTTTGTAGAATTATGACAGAAGAAAGAATATTGAATTTACATTAAAATGAATTCTTTAGTTACACACATCTCAAATATGTAAAACATATGATTCATTTTTTAATCCCAGTTGCTTGATGCTATGACACAGATCTCGATTATTCATGCTGATATTTTACCCATATGAATATCTTGTTTTATCTTCCTTGTATACATATTAACATAGTATTCAAAATAGTTCGTATATCTAATAATAATCTTATTCGTTTAAAACTTTAATAACATTTCAACCAAGTGAATTATGATTTTCAGTAACTATAGACTTCATTGTTGATCTCTACTTTTATTTTATAAAACAAAAATAAACGAAAAATCAATAGTCTTGATTTTTGTCCGAGGTCGATCGGTCTATGTATGAGCGGAAACAGCTTTTTTTGGTTCCGGTCTTGATCTCGATCAAAAAAGAAGAAAACTTTTTATTTACTTTCTCTTTTCTCATTCTAGCTAAATTTTTTCAGCATAGCATATGCAAGATGTCTTAATGATATACTATGGTCGATATAGTTGCTAGTATCCATCTTGTTGGACATTCAATTAGATGATTTGAGAACAAACAGCTGTTTTTCTCCCAGGCTCAATCTTGCATTCGGCCGCAATGGGATTACGATCGATCATTCTCTGTAATAATTGATGAAAATTTATCAATAGGCAAAATGAGACATGTAGATATCCTCTTGTAGCAAGTATGTATAATTGATTTTTTACAAACATAAAAAAACTAATAATTTAATATTTTCGGTTGCATTGAGTAAGTCTTTAAGTGTAAAATGAACTATTTTCCAGGGTAATTATTTCTGATGAAACGATTTTCTGCAAACATAAGCAAAAGGAGGTCGTCTGGTAGGTGTTAGATGACATTAAAGTTTTATTTTCTGAAAAGAGTCCGATGGGTTATGATAATTATTCGATATAAACTTTGTATTATCTACTATGTCATCTTGACTTACTGAATGATATTAAGTACAAATGATACAAAAAATAATAATAAAATTATTAATTCAATTATTATGAAAAGACTTTTTGTCTATTGTAACTAATTTTAATTTCTTTTAGATATTTGCCAACGATCATTCATTGAATAGAGGTAATTTATTTTTAAAATTGCTATATTTTCAACAATACGAATCTATTCATTAAGAGTCTTCTAATATATATTTTCTTTCAAAAAGTAAAAGACTTCTATAGTTTGAATGTTTAATAACAAAAGGAAAAACCATGATACATGATTTCCATACTTGATAAACTTTACCAAAAAATATACTTTGAAGTAAATAAATTTTACCTTTGGGAGTAAAAAAAAAAAATTAAATTATCTTACGAAGGAAGTATTCTCACTAATTAAGAGAATTCAACTTCATCTTGTAGTCGTAAGTAGATTCCGGTAAGACTAAGAAACCCATAAAAGTAGATGTGCTTATGATTCTTTATTTTCAAAATATAATTAACGTTAGGAAGAAAAAAAAAGTTTTCTTTCTATGTGTTTCTAGTTATCGTTAATATATTATTCTAAGAAGCTCTGTCAAAAAGAATTATTTTATTAAAAGCTTTAAACTATTATCTTGCACTAGACTGTATTATAAAATTTCGAAGTTGTAATAATGAAAAATCTAGTTTCTAGTCAGCGGTGAATATGATTACCGTGCCCTTCCGAACAAATTCTTTTCCTTTTCCTTTCTCCGTCGAAAGAGTCCAAAAATTATCCGATACTATTACTAATGAACTTCAAAACAAGGTTTTTTTTAGTATTATCGTTTCCTTTCTATTGTAACACCATCATTTATCAAAGTCCTGGTTTCGTCGCTGTTTCTAGTAATTTTTTTAATGCATCAGAGAAACAAATGATACAATACGTAAGCCAGACATAAAGCAAAAGCAACTTAATAGTATAAAAATTCCATGTAAAAATGATGAAATGTAACACATATTGCGACATAAAAAACAACAAATCAAATGTGGAGTTAAACACATGTCTTTAATGCGCAGAAACAAACCCGAAAGAGAAGTTAGTTTTGACAACATTGAAAATTGCCAGTATGAGTCTTTAGGTATTCATTAGTAAATCATTTTTATGAAATGAATTCGGAAAAAAGACGTTCAGCTATTTATAAATAAATGAATGAATTCAAGTAACTTATACTATTTCAATATAATTGTTTTTTAGTTAAGATTGAATTTGTATTATTAAGATAACATTTGAGTGATAATTTGAGAAAAATTAGCAATGTCTTTTTTTCTCGTCAATACTTTCACCATATTATTGAGAATGAAGAATCATAAATACAAAACTTTTAAGTATTTTCTTCGTTTCATTGACGCCTACGTATAGCTAATATATAATTCTTAAGCTCAGAATCAGTTGAAGAAACTTCCGTTGTTAGATTAAAATTATATGCGTTGAAACAGGAAATCAGAAGCTTAGCAACTCACTGTACTTAATGGAAAAGTAATAATTAATAAAGATACACGTATGGACTGAATATTTTCAGTTCGTTTATTTTGTAATTTAACGCTAATTAATATGGCACTTAAACGTATTGCAAAAGAATTACAAGATTTACAACGTGAACCACCAGCTAATGTTAGCGCTGGACCAGTAAGAATGAATTTTATAGTTATAATTATATAAATTCTTATTTATAGATTCAATCCAATGATATGTTTAATTGGCAAGCAACTATTCTTGGTCCTAGTATGAATAGAAATTTGAAGTTTAACTATATCAAATTGTTTTTCTACTAGGTGATTCGCCATTTCAATCCGGTGTATTTTTTCTCACAATTAATTTTCCCACTGATTATCCATTTAAACCACCACATATAACGTTAGTATTTTTTTGATTTCGATAAAATTTTTAAAATTTAATTCTTGATGTATTTAGTTTTCGAACGAAAATTTATCATCCAAATATTAATGCTAACGGTTCAATTTGTCTTGATATTCTTCGAAGTAATTGGTCACCAGCATTAACTATTTCAAAAGTTTTATTATCAATTTGTTCATTACTTTGCGATCCAAATCCAGATGTATGTATACCTTTTTGTTTTTATTTATTTAGATAGATATATTGTTTTTACTATTTTATTTTTTAGGATCCACTTGTACCAGAAATTGCTAGGCAATATAAACAAGATCGAGTAGGATATAATGCGGTAAAGAAATAAAATTTTATGATTAATTTTTTTATTTAATTATTTATGTCTTTTATTATTTAGACTGCTCGACAATGGACACAAAAATATGCAACCTGATTGCATTATGATTAGTGTTACCTTGTATTCTCTTTTTTTGTCGCATCCCTTTACAATAAATTGTAATAAATAAATGAAAACAGATTTGTTTTCTTTCATGATTACTATGTACTTGCTATTTAGTAGCAACAAAAAATATTTGAAATTTTGAAACAAATTTTCAATGTACGAGAAACGATTCGATTGACTGACTATACAACTTGAATAATAAAAGCGTTTTGTTTACTTTTCATTTATGCTGCCTGGTGAGCAGTAATAAAAAAACACTGATCAAGTTTGTTCTGTTTCTTAGTTACAATATAAAAGAAAAGGTAGTGTTTATGTGTATATATATATACGTAAGCATGTGAAGGGCATGATAATTATTGAATCGCAAATAGATGCGACAAAACGAATGCTTCTTTTCTATCTGCTTCACGTATCTCTTTTTTGCAGCGAATGGATATAAAGTCATGGTTTCGTTATCACATTTTATCTGTTTTATACTGTCGACCGAGCCTCTTGCGTTTGTAAATAGTACACGCCCTCTTTCGGTAGGGAAAAAAATTTTTTTTTCCTTTGTCCTCTAGATAACAAGAATGTAACCTATTGTGTTCTGCGAGTCGGCACATACACAGATTGCTGATTATATATAATTGTTTATCTATTTTACGTACGTGTTTCACAATTATTTGTAAAAGAACGTAGTATATTTTATAAAGCAAAATAGGTAAAAACTTATAGACATAACTACAAGAAAACAGAGAGCTATGCATGTAAGGAAAAAAATAGAGAACTTTGTACTTCAGAAAAAAAATAGAGAATATTATTAATCGACCTATTTTTTATTTCAAGCTATTCTACAGCAAGATTTTTATCAATTTTTTTGACATATTATTTGCCAATAGGACGTAGACATACTATAAATATATTTGCTTCATTTTATTTTAGATATTCTGAGTGTGTGTTCCTATAACATCCAATATGGTTACCATCATGTCACACATCTCTGATTATTTTGAGCAATTTAATAGCTCGTTAACGGCTGCTTCTCAGTCATCATCTCAATCCCATGATATCACATCATCAACAAATAAAATTCCACTTACATTCTATGTATTTGACTTTGAACGGTATAGTGATGAAATGGGAACATTACGAGATTTACGTACATATATGATCCAACGTTGGCATAATAGTTTTTTCTATGCTCTTGCATATTTATTTTTAATCTATAGTAAGTTATTTAAATTATTCAAAATTTTAAAAGCTTAATTATTAGTAAAAATTTCTCATTTGTAGCGGGTCAGTTTTATATGAAAAATAAGCCTCGATTTGAATTACGTTTATGGTTAGCAGCATGGAGTACATTATTGGCATTATTTTCAATATTTGGAGGTATGAGAGTATTACCAGAATTAATTTATGTTATTAGTCGACATGGTATTAAATACTCAATTTGTAATAATTCAAATGCATTTGGTGTTGTCGGATTTTGGTATGAATCAAAACTAAAAAAAAATGATTTTTCATAAATAATAGGAAAAAAATCTTTTAATGACTCGTTTATAGGACATGGGCATTTTGCTTTTCTAAATTACCCGAATTAGTTGACACGATATTTATTGTACTTCGTAAACAACCATTAATTTTTCTGCATTGGTATCATCATGCATCAGTTTTAATTTATTGTTGGTTTAGTTACCAAGATTATAGTTCAACAGGAAGGTCAATAGCAAAAACAAAAATAAAATTAGTCAAAAAAACTGATTAATTATTTTTTGTTTTAGATGGTTTTGCGGTTTGAATTATATTGTTCACGGAATAATGTATTCTGTATGTTATTTTGTTTTATTTAAAAGATTTTTCAAAAATGTTCTTTTTTTCTTTCTAGTATTATGCACTGCGTGCATTAAAATTTCGTATCTCACGTTGGGTATCAATGATAATAACAATGCTTCAATTAACTCAAATGATCATTGGTTGTTGGATTAATTTACAAGCATGGCAATATAAAAAAAACGGTGAAATCTGTCAAGTAACAGATGAAAATTTAAAAGTATCATTAATTATGTATGGAACATATTTCCTATTATTTGCTCATTTCTTTCTTGGTTCGTATATTTTTAAATCAAAACGTGAAAACAAACAACATGATCAAAAACAACAAAATGAAGAAGAAAAAAATCAATACAAAAAAAAAATTAATTAATTTAATGTCAAATATCAAATATATATGTATACTACCAAAAATTACATTATATTAGGAAATCCAATTTTTTTTTTATAGTGTATAGTAGCCGGTGAACTAATAGTTCGCTATTGTCTTGTTTGTCGGGAAATATTATATTATATGCTATTTGTGACATCTCTTTTTTTTTTTGTTTACTGTTGTTCTCGTTTTGTTGTGTGCGTTTTGACAAGCATTCTATCAAAATAAAAAAAAATAATACTTGAAAATAATTACATTTATTATTTTGTTTCTATTTCTAAAAACAAACAAATTTTCAAGTTCTAGATTCTTTTTTATGCTAATGAAACGAAAATTTCGATGTAAAATTTTTCTCTGAAATCGATTAATTTTAGAGTAACAATTTATTTCGAACGAAACAAAAAGTAATACAATCGTTCTCGCATGAATAATACCACTGTTGATAGTTTTATTTTTTAAGTCATATGATATTTTATGATACTTTTTCTGTGTATTGAATCCTAATTTAATTTGAATTGTTGTATGCATTAGATTCGCATGATAACTTTTTGTCATCATGACGTCAGTTTTTTTTTCTGTTCACAAAACAAAAAGGATTTTTTAAAGACAATGTTGTTTTCTCATCTTTTTCAGATGTAATGGTTGATCTTGAAGTTAAAAAATCACAGATAGAAGGTACAGTTTGTGGCTACTGATATCATTCGACAAGGTTCGCTTTCAATTGTTTTGGTTTCTGGCTACTTAAACACTAAAAACGAAGTCGAATAGTGTTTCGAGGAGAGAAAATTATTGATAATAAAAAGCTACGAAAAAGTAAATTATTAATAAACTTTCAAGGGCAAGATTACAAGAAAATTTCAAATGTAGTTTTTCACCATATAAAATGCCGAACTTTTATTGTGTTCAGACGAAAGAGAAAGAATGATAGAGAAAACAATATTCTACAAAATGAGATGTCTCCACGTTTTCTATGATGATTTTTAATTGATAGATAATAATCATACAGATGATCTTAGCGTATATTTTTTTCTTTATTTGCTATGTGAATATTCTTTTAACCTTTCATCAGATTATTACATCGAAGTCAAGGACCATCATAGAGAACTTAAACATGTTTCATTTTGCGGCGAATTGCTTGCTCTATCGTCTTATTTAGTTTGAACAAGATGATAATTCTGTTGTCTGGGTACTAAAATTGAAAATAAACTTTGTTGAATGATTATAGTACCCATTGCATGTCTTGTCATTGACGTAAACACATTCTTATTTTTATCAAACTACATTACTCTTCCTCAATTATCTCTGAAGCACGCAAACAAACCATAGCTATTCATAAATTATACTCGTATTAAAATAATCTTTTCTTTAACACGAAAGTTAAAAATATTATTTCATGGAGCATTTGTTAGATACAGTTATTACTTATAATAGCCATATCATAGATAAAAAGAAAAACCATATATATTTATGTCTAGATGCTGGATCTGGTCTATTCACTCGCACGCCAATTGCCAAAGGCTCATGTGTGTGTATCTATAGAGGCAAAACACTTCGTACCATTGATGCAATACGTCTGAAAGATAAATCGTATTTAATGCGACTTGGTCCACAAGTTTATGTTGATCCTTGTGATGATGAAACGATACTTGGGAGGTATATAAATGATCCACGAAATCGTTTATTACAAAATGTTGTATTTGATAAACGTCCTGAAGAACAATGTGCTTATGTTATTGCTAAACGAGATATAGCTGCTGGCGAAGAAATTTTTGCAGATTATGGACGATGGTATTGGTTAACAAAAACTCCTAATCGATTAGAAAAATTACTCACGTGATAATAATTGTTTATTTTTGTTTTGTAAATAAAATAAAATAAAATAACCATATACAAGAAAAAAATATATATACACCCCTAGACAAAAGTCTTTCTTCCTTCTTTTCTCCCTCCCTATCATTTTTTTGCATAGAACTTCTTGGATGACAAGTCAATGTTGGTCACAAGAATATTTTTAAATACAGTATTCTAGTGTAGCATATAGTTAATTATGACCTGCTTCAATGAGGAATGTTGGTTATCTAATACAATCGGTCAACATTATAAATCAGTTGGTTGATAAAATACTTCATGATTAGGTTATCTCTTTTTGTTATATTTTCTGAACGTTTTACTAGTTTCACTTTATCTGTATTTGTATAGTCAAATATATTGCATTCTCGGAAGAGCTTGAGTCAGCGACAAAGAGGGTTTGATAAATCAAAACAGTAAAAAAGTGAACAGTTACCAAAAAAAAGATAATCTAGTCGTAAAACATTCTGTCAATCAACTCATCTGTAGTGTTGTTGCTCAATTCTATTGAAAGACGTATATTCTTCGTTGAAGCAAATTGTCATCAAGCATATACTACATTACAATAAAGCATTTAAGCTTTTGTTGTTACTAAAATTCACTAGAGACCAAAGAGGTTCCATACAAAAAAAAATGATGGGACGAGGAAGGGGAAAGGCTTTTGTCCATGGGTGTATATATATACTTATATACAAAGTTTGCTTTCAATCAATGATTTCATCGACATAAGCCTGTTAGTCGATCATTTCTATAAGAAATATTTTTTTCTGACTGATAGATGATTACATCAACACACAAATCTCATTTTAGACTATCTATCATATTTGTCTAATCGATTGAGTCTAAGTACAGAGTTAGTTACTTCGATTATTTAATCACAAATCTTTCTCTCTCTATCTCTTCGCGAAGGTAAAACGATAGAAGATTTTTATAAATTAACAAGAAGAAATTAGATTCTCCAATATGTGTAATTATTTTTATTAATGCAATTGACGCTCGTTCGCTATACATCGTTTTTTGTTGTGTATGAACTGCTTTAGGCTACTGTTGCAAATAACAGTCAATGCTGAAGTCATTAATATATATATAAGGCAGTATATTGAATATATTTTTTCAGTACAAAATGTTCGTCAGCATAACAAAATGGATATTATTTTTCTTGATAATAACTAGTGCACAATTATTAAATAATAATACATTAGAAAATGATAATGCAACAGCTGCATCAAGACGTGCACATCAGATAACAACGATTCTTGATGGACTTTTAAAAAATTATGATGCACATATTCGACCAAATTTTGGAGGTAGAGTAGAAGAAGAAATCATCGTCGAATTTATTTCTTAATTATTTTTATTTTCTTTGTTTTAAATATTCAGAAGGTCCAACGAAAATAAATTTTGATATATTAGTTAGTTCATTTGGACCTATTCAAGATATTGATATGGTTTGTATTTAAAAAAATAAAAATATTTTGTTTGTTTTTATAATCATAGATTTAGTCATTTACAATGAATTGTTACTTTCGTCAACGATGGCGTGATGAACGTCTGCAATTTGCTGAAGAAGTTGGTGTACTTTCATTATCTACACGTATGCTTGAACGATTATGGAGACCAGATACAGTTTTTCATAATTCAAAATATTCTTATTTACATACAATACCAACAAGTAATCGTTTATGGAGGCTTTTTCCTGATGGTTCAATATGGTATTCATCAAGGTAATTAACAAAAAATCATGTAACTTAATCGACAGGTTCTTTTTTTACTTTTGATCTTTATTATAGAATAACAGTTAAAGCAAGATGTCATATGAATTTAAAAAATTTTCCTGTTGATATACAAATTTGTAAATTTCTTATTGGCAGTTGTAAGAAATTCATATCCGCCATTGAATTATTTGATTTGATTTTTCAAAATTTATTTATAGTTGCAAATTCAGCATCAGATATTCAATATGGTTGGCGTTTAGGAAATAATAATAGTGTTAGTTTTGATACGAAAGTTCTATTATCACAATTTGATCTTATTAGATATCCACAATATGATGAAATTGTTGATATCAGTGGACGTATGTAATATATATTGTATCAAGATTTGTTTTTGATAGATTTCAAATTAATAATTCAATCTTTATAATAAAAAATTCTTCGTCATCTATTACTTATATATGTAATCAGATGAAGATTGAAGCAAATCAATGTCTATCTTAAAAAAGATGAAATTTTTTTAACTTTTTTCATACGTTCTATTGATAGGAAATGATGGTACCCTGTAGATCAGAAATTAATTCATTTTTTTTTGAGTTTCGCCTCAGAACATACTTTTATGCATTCGGAATATGTCAACTCATTTTAATTTCTGATCTACAGATTTATTCAGAAGAAGGAGAAGATGAAGCAATAAATATTCATAATATCAAGTACACTCTAGCTGAAATGAGCGAGTCATTACAAAAAACTTTTATAACCATTTTTTTGCTCGAAGGATAACTGAGAAATAATCAAACTAAAAAATAATCTATTCGACTGATGTTTTTTGTATTTATAAAGTAGGTTTCTTTTACATAAGCAATATGTTGGTTTTCATCCAGGATGACCCAAAAGTAAGAAATACAAGACTTTTCTATTGCTTCTCTATGAATGGTCAACTAGGCCTCATATTCACTGAATGATACTAGTAAATGATATAGCATATGATCAATTTTTGGATATAATAGTCTATTCAAAAGCATGCAAATATATCTTGCTGCTAGTCTGTAACTGTAAGAGAAACGCAATGTTTTCCAATTTCCATAGTTTTGTCTGTTTATCTCGATCTGTAAAATGAATCCGACTTAATCAGAACAAGATCTATTTAAATCGAATTCATTTTACAGGTTATGATGAGTAGACAAACTATGAAAATCGAAGAACATCGAATTTTTCTTTTAGTTCACAGACAAGCAATAAGATTTATACGTTTTCGAATAAACTGCTACGTCCAAAGACTTATTACATGTTACATCTTTTACTAGTATCACCTAGTAAATGTGAGGTCTAACTGACCACATATAAAGAGAATATAGAAAAAAACTCAATGTTCTCTTACATTTGGATCATTCTGTATAAAAATATAAGATTTTAATAATCTGGATATGTTTGAACTAATCATTAATTATTAAAAAATCTATCAAAGATTTATATAAAAATTTACTTGTTATTATTGTTTCTTGTCTAAAATTACAATAAAAATGAACACTAGTATTATTATAAATTTAGAACAGATTGATCAACTTTTAATTTATAATTTTATAATAAAATAATTAATTATAGGTAACTTTTCTATGCTTCGTGTTGATTTTGTTCTTAAACGACATATGGGTTATTATATTTTACAAGTATATATTCCAAGTTCAATGTTAGTTATGTTATCCTGGGTATCATTTTTTATTCATCGTGAAGCAACAGCTGATCGAGTTAATATTGGTGTAATGACTTTTCTTAGTTTAGCAACATTAAGTTTTGATATACGAAATTATACAGCTGTTGTTTCTTACCTAACAGCACTCGATTGGTTTGTTATTATGGCATATGCTTTTTTACTTGCATCATTACTTCAATTTGCTTTTGTTCATTATTTTACTAAGGTTGGAAATTTTTGTTTTTTTGTTTTCTTTAAGACATTTATTATATTTAATTTAGTTTGGTTATGGTGAACCACTTCTTCGTTATCATGGTTCAATTGATAGTTTAGTAATAAATGAAGATAATGGACAAACAAATCAAGATTATAAAAAAAATTCATCTTTATTTTATCCACGTATTCAAAAAATAAATCAAAAAAAATCTCAAACAGAAAGAAAACTATGTTTAGGAAGTATTCAATATTATTTACGTCAATTTTGGTTTTGTTTATCAGGCAATGATAGTTATAAACGTGCATTACGTAAACGTGCATCACGTTTTGGTATTAATAGTCGTAGTAAATTAGATGGTTTTGCTCGAATTGCATTTCCACTATGTTTTGCTCTGTTTAATATATTGTATTGGTATTATTTTCTTCATTTACAAAGTTAAAAAAAAAATGAAATAAATTTTATATAGCTTGAAGCTATTAAACTCTTCTCCTTCTTCTCCGCCTACCTTTTTTTTTCATAACATCCTGAATTTACAATGTGTGTTAGTTGTTGATCATCATCATCATCATCATCACTATCGAGAAAGAAACAGAAAGAAGAGCGAGAGAGAAAAGAAAAAAAAACGGAAAGCAATGTGGGCTCTATTTGAGAGGTAAAGAAGCAAAAAAAAATTGAATTTCTTTTTTAACATACTGCATTTATTCTTATCGGTTTTGAAAATTTGAAAAAGAAATGACATCGTATCTAGCACCTGAAAGTCCACGACCTTTTTCAATTGCTGCGGAACGTTATTTTCAAAAAATTAATTTTCGAGTTGGTTTACCAATAGTAAATAATGAACGAACATTAAAAATTAGCAAATGTCAATTTGGTGAACAATATGAAAGGGAATTTTGTTTCTATTTGGCTAAACATGCTGAAGTTAATTGTAGTGATCGTTTATGCATAGTTGGAGAAGAATCTGAATGGGCATTAATTATACAAGAACGACTTTTTCTTATTAAACCGGTACATTTTATTGATTGCAAATTACATCAAGGTAAGTAAAGATATAAATATTAATAAGAATACTGTGTTCAAAGTATATTAGAACTTTTTTCTTTTCATTCTTCAATATAATATTTCCTTCATGAAATATGAGAATAGATCAAAAGGTTACTTATCTAAGAGAAATTTATTTAAGTTCACTTTTTAAACTAATCGAAATGAATGTAAACTATGAATTCTTTTTTCTTTTTCATTTTTATCAAAATGTTTGTTTGTAACAGATAAGATTGTATTGTTGGTCGAAAAGAAAAAAAATTATAATATTATATTCAAAATTGAATAAGGAAATACGATTGTATAAGGAATGAAAATATACATGTGATAGAAACCAAAAGAAAAAAAAAAAAAAGATGAATTGTATTGCGATTGACATAAAATCATTACTTTCCGATAAATCTTAAGAAGCCTTAGTAATGAATACAGTGTCTACTTTTTCATCGAAATTACTATTTAATTAATGTATTACTGATATAATTTATTTTTACTTGTCATGTCATTCAACAGGATTCCAATATTCAACTTACTTATTCTCCCAGTTAATGTTTTTTTCTTTTGAAATTTTATGAGTGACTCCTATGTGTAATTTTCATTGATTCAACAATATAGCTACTATAACCAAAATCATTTATTAGCACCACTATTCATTCCTTTGATCTTAATTCTATGATTGTAAAATATGTTTTAACATATTTATTTTGAGAAACTTAATCTTCAAAATATTATTTTGTTTTTTTTTTCGTATTTATCTTTCTTTTCGAACACATGTCTAATCAAAAAATATTTTATATTGTCAACTTACATCAAGTCGTTCGTTTTTTCTATGATGATTGTCATATAAATATTGACATTAAAATAAAAATACTCAGAGAGAACAGATTAAAATAAACAGAAAATAGATGACAACATCTTAACTAATATCAATTTTTGCCATCTTAAGTATTCATTTTTATTATCGAGAGAAAATTCTCGTAAAGGTTAGGTGTTGTTTTCGACAAGATGCGATTGAAAAGAACTCGTAAAGTGCTCGCTATCATTCTAGATCTCTAATAAAGCATACGTAAAAAAATCGAATATTAATCTGTAATTGCATCCAAAATGAATCTTTCCTTTTTTCAAAATCTATTATTTAAGCAAGAATTTTCGGATGTTCAAATGATTATGAAGTCTACAATCATCATTCGACAAAGTAGAGAGATAAACTCTTTAACGATTCTTAAAATCTGCAAACTGTTATACATTCTATTAAGACCAATGTAAAAAATGACTTAAAATTCTCCTGCTTTGAATATCATATTGACAAAATTATATTGAATTTTTTTTAGTAACTAAAATAATTTTCATTCAGATACAATCAAAGAACAGTTAACGACCGATGCATTCGATCGAATAATTCTTCTTAATTGTCTTCATCAAATAAACAATCCGCCAACAAATGAAGATATTCAAAATGAAAGTCAAAATACAAATTTTACTTTTAGTAGTCCATTAGTGTCATTTATAAATATATTACGTAAATCATTAGTAGCAAATGGTAAATTAATTATTATTCATCGTGAACCAAATATAAATACATTACCATTACCAATTGAAGTAATAACAAGTTGGTATACTGCTGATAAACACAGTGCACGTCTTATTGAACAATTACATCGTGAACGAAAAAAAAATCTGGAACTTTTATGGGAAGTTGAAACTATTAAATTTAGTATACAAAAATTAATCTGGTTTAATTTACTTATTCATCGAACTTTTTATCCGCTAACATTAAATAGTCAAAAACAGGTAGAAAAATGAAAAGAAAAGTCATTCTCATTCAGTTTTTTTTAAAATCTATTATGCTAGATCGCTGATGGTTTAAGACAATTAAGTGAAACATATTTTAAATATCATCAAGGTTTATTAGAAATGTATGATAGATTATTATTTTTAACGGTTCAAAATACAACTGAACCGTTACCATCAAAAATTCCTCTTCCAAAATTAATTCAATCATCTACAAATGAAATGAATTCAATGAATTCTTTCAATGCAAATCAAACAACAGAACGATTAAGACGTAAACCCATTCCATTACAAACAGGACCACATGAAATATGGGATTATAAAATGTTAGTAACCGATGAAGTTAAACAATTGTTAAATTTAAATGAACATCGACAAGACAAAAAACGAAATCTTTTTAAATCAAATCTTGATTTTATGTAGAAATACACAACGAGAAATATTTTTTATTTATTTATTCAAAATTTGAATAATCATTCAATTTTTGCCTTTCTATGAATTCTTTTATTGATGAACTTTATTTCTTTAGACTTCATTGACCGAATTAGAATTTTATATGAAGAGTTATTGTAATGTTCTTCTCATACACGGATTCGTATCCGAAATTTTTGACGTTTGTCTAGTTCGATATACGCTAGATTCTATAAAAATCTCGATTCATAACTCTCTACTTATAGAACATTTGCGCCAGGTGAGTCAAAATGATTGCAACATCAGATATGTTGCAAATATCTCACCACAGATAAGTTTTATAACGTTGAACTTTGTTTTTCAAAGATGCATGATTAAATTCTCTACAAGAATGGCAATAAAAAATACTTATTGAATTGTTTTAATAATTTTTCTTATAACACTAAAATAAAAACACTTTGTGATGATCAATTGTACAATTATTTTGAGAGAAGAAGAAGCGATGTTGGAACTTCAGTTTTGCAGCTTTTTCCCAACTTAAAAAGTCTGTATTTCTGAATTATTTTGAGTTACATGAGAATGGATCGCATTGGAATAAAAAAATACATCAATATATAGCACATCAGAAACTCTATTAATGTCTGCGTTGGTAACAATGCTTTAGATTTGTTCTTGACACTTTCATTAAAAACGTTTGAAAAATGAAATTTTCATAAAATACCGTCTTTTCTAAGAAATATCAATTTGCAAGAATATCAGTCATCATCTCCAGATATCATGCATGAACTGAATTCTTTTTGCATTATTTATTTGAAATACGTCAAATCATAGAAATCAAGCAGAGAATATAGTTCAAAAAAACAACATTTTTTTACCATTGAAAAATGATCAGCTAGTGAGAACAATAAACTGAGTCAGTCTTTTTTAGAAAAAGTTATATTTTAGCATAAAAGCTAAGAGTAAATGTAACTTTCAATATACTGTCGAGAAGAGCATGGTTTACGCTACAAAAAATCAGCATTAACCTCGGTTTTTCATTTCCTTTCTCGCATAAAAAAAAATCAAAAGAAAATAAATATGTTGTTGTTTGATAGTGAAGTTGCAAGATTTTTTTTAGAGGTGTTTAGTTTTAGGTTTTTCCTATACGTCCGATTTGTTCTGTAAAAAATGTCTGGTATAAAATTTGTAGTTGAGATATTCTTCTTTCTACCAAAAAAAAATTTGATTAGTTTACAAGTCGGTAATATGGTATAACAATACTTGACATTTTTCTGAAAACTTTTGTAATGCATATTATATCATCATCAATAAATCAAGAAACATAAAATCTTTTTTTCTTCTAATGTACGCCATGGAATTTTCTAATACTTTTGCATGAGAGAGTCCTTTGTATTATGTTGATGGATTTTTTAAATGACAAAAGATGCAGATCTTCGTAATGTCGTTATTTTTTCATTGTAATAATAGAAAAAAAAAAAACTTCAGAAATCTGAAGTAGTATTTGTAAAGATCGGCGACCTTCTAGTTCATCGGATTCGAAACCCATTAGACTATTCTATATGAGATCGTGTTAATAAGAACATTGATTATCAAAAGGCCAACATATGACAAGATTCGAAGAAATAAATGAATGTAGTATGCTAAAAAAATTCATTTGAGTTATATTCGTGAAGTGATCGACTCTTTTCGTCCGAGAGTTCATGTAGTTGAACAACATAATAACGATCATATTTTCGATGAACATTGAAGATTTTTATATTATTTTACTTGAACTAATTCTTAAATTTTATTTTTATTTTTATTTCGCTCAAAATAATGAAACATTTGACCATCACATAGTACTTTAGTTTTCACCGTATAAAAAAAAATCATTGAAATAATTCAACGGAATTCTTTTTTGTCATTCTTTTAGAGAATTTGACGGTACACCTTTTTAAAAAAAATTCAGTATTATAGGATTTGTGTTTGTGTTGAAATCTTTGCAAAATACCCAATGTTTTGATCATTTTGACTCATCTGGTATCCATAATTCTCATATATTTTTCTTTGAAAGTGCTTATCAACTATAAAATTAGATTATTTGATTTTCTGTATCGATAACAATGTAATAAATATTATTTTCATATTCTACGAATGTTCTCGACGATTAAAAAAAATATTTTTCTAATCCTTCAAAAAACAAATTATATATCAGCTGTTATTTTTCACAATTATTTATCGACGAAAATGGCTTTAAAATCTATTTAAAAACCTGTGATTGGCAAAAGAAGCAAATATAAAAATTTCTCTATACGTATAAGAATAAAAAAGTTTTTGAGATTTCTTTCTTCTTTTTTAAATATATAACATAATGTATGCAGGTTAGCATCGATCAATTATTAAGTACTTCTTTTTATGAATGTAATTTAGGTTTTTGTAATATATTATGTATTCTATTATTTATCACTATTCTGAATAAAACAGTCCTAACAAATGATATAAAAGATGTTCAATTAAAATCCCGTAAGTAGTACTTATTTATGGTTTTCTTTTGATTATATTTATCTTTATCCACAATAGAATTGGACAATTTATCATTACCAAAAGAACTGATTATTAACACTATTTTTGTTGTTCATCTTCAATCAGCCCTAGTAATTATGTCTAGTGAACGAGATTTTCCATTTAATATTTCATCAGATTCTAAATTTAATTATATTCGTTATCCTCAATCATATCGTACGACAGTAGTACAGGTTAGTTCACACATGCATAAAATATTTTCAGATACTTATTCGACTATGTATCATATTCAACTGGCTGTTAAACGAATTCCAAATCATATTAAAACAATATTAAAACTTATTACTACAGGTTCACCTAGCATGACTCAAAGAATGTTACCTACTACGTTCAATAATATGGCTCGTATTTCAAATGAAAATAAAATTTTGCTCAATAAAACTATAGATCAATTAACTGATCTTTCTAATTTTTTAAATGAAATTAAACAATATACAATAAATTTATCATTAAAATTTACTAACTATTCTTCGGATAAAACTAATTTAATACTTTATAATGAATTTAATTCGAAAGATATTCTTGAGAAACTTTGTATAATAATTCTGCAAATGAAAAAACAATATGAACAAATTGTTCAATTAATTTTTACTGTTGATATTCAAGAAAAATTTAATTTATTTAATAATGATAATGAAATTATTCATTTTATTTCAATTTTATATAGCATTGAAAATAATGCTTATTATCTTTATCAATTATCAAGTATTTATACAGATATATTAAATCGATATGTACTTGATCAACTTGCTAAAATTGGACGATATGCAGTATTATCAACTGATGATGAACGTTTAAAAAGTTTTTCCAAATTATCACAACAAATGTCAAACACTTTTCATGAAGTTGAACAATTATTTATCGAACGTCAAAATGAATTTGAAATCAATAGTATGATGTTACAGCAAGCCTATGAAAAACTTTTTAATGAATTTAAAAATCGTTTACCAACATCTGAATTGTTAGAAACCAAATAAAATTTTTCATCTTTCTTCTTAATTAATAAAACGTATCATAGACTTATGAATTATGCATTCATAATTACATATATTTTTGTTTCTCATGAGAAAACATGAAGAATATGAAAATGTTAATCAAAAAAATTTACATCATTTTCTATAGAAATAATCATTTTATAACAGGCGAATCGGTTATTGAAAAACAAAGTTCCTCGAATTATATTATAAAATGACAAGAAAATAATTCTTCATTGACTTTTTTATAGTACGTTACATTCGACTTACATCTTTTACAAAAAAGCAATTTTGTAATATTTTATTTATGCATGACTATTTTGAGAATTCATGCGTTAATTCATATACCAAAAATAGAGTTGAAATTCTAATCCTACAAGCCATCATGTTATTAAATATAAAGTCTCTTCTTCCTTAAACGATGAATTAATTTAATTTATTGGAAATATTAATGAATAAAATTTGAAAACCTTTTGGAAATATTTTTTCTCCTTCGTCAGTTCAGTTATTTTTCACAATAAGCTTATACTTTTTACTATGTATGTTACCTATTTGTTTATTGTTTTCTGCTTTTTTTTTCTTTTGTAATAGCAGAATGGAAGATGCAAACACAGAAGTTATGTCAAACAGTATATTACAGTTTTGTCATTTCATTCCATCAGTAGAAAAAAAGAAAGAAGAAAATAAAAATAAACAGATACGTATTTGACATAGTAAAAATATGAATCTATTGTAATAGTCAATGAACTGGTGAAGGAGAATGATATTTCAAGAGTATTCGGAAATTTTATTAATTAACATTTCACATAATTTAAATCAATTCATCGTTTAAGCCAGAAGAGACTTTATATTGAATTAAACAATTAAAGACAGAAACCATCATGTTAGTAACTGAATGTGTCACCATTATATTACTCATGTAACAACATTATGATCATGATTGAATAGGGTGCTAGCATGTGTCGATTAATGAATATGGAGTTCAACGAGTGTTCGACATTATGCTTTAGGTCAAATAAACGTTATTCAAATATTTATTTGTTGATTGACAATCATTTGTTATCTTATTTCTTGTTGTATTCTAGTGTGCCAATATATTATTAGTAGTAAAATTTACATTGTATTTTTTTTGCCAAACTTGAAATCCTAAGAAATTTTTATTAAACAGAGTATTAATTATTAGAAAATAATATGCAGCAGATTAAGAGTATTTGCACTTCTTTATCTTTGTTTAAAGTGAACTTCGTAGAACCTTTAATACGGCTTTGATTGTTAATCACTTTCTAAAATCTTTATTAAGATTGAGATAAGGATAAACTATTATACTCTTCTATATAATTTGATATATACATCATTTCCTGTCAATACATCAATTCTTTTCATATGACTATTTATCAAATTATTTTAATATAATCAATATATTATATTGAATCGAATCATATCTGGAGTATAGATTTGAATATTCGTTCGAAAAGTTGATATGAGAATTGTTTTGATTGTTTTTGAAGATTTATTTGATCATGTAACTTCTCTTGAATGTTTCTTTTGTAATGCATATATTTCATCATGAAAATCTGAATCTTTTAAAAAATATATTCTTAATATTTCATCATTTTTCTAGATTCTTCAACTATAGGAAAAATGATACTAATTATAATTAATTTTGTTCTAGTTTATATTTATGTCTTGTAGAGAAACAAGACAGTGACACATAAAGAATACTCTAATTTAATCTATGCTAGTAGAATAAAACATTTTCTTTTTTTTTTCGTTTAAAAAAAGACATTTATCATAATTATAGATCGGTATACATAAATATCACTTATTTTTATGATATTTTACTACAGCTACAATACCATTTTGCCCGTTTTTTTTTTCTATACAAATTATAATGATTAACTATGGTTGTTTTACTGTTCAAAATGCTATACATATAATATGACATGTTAATGTTCGAGTCTATGTGAATCGAATACTTATCAACTAACAAAAAGGTAGAATTACTATGAAACCTAACTGATATGAAATAGTAATCATGAGACATATTCAAGTAAGTATCGATCTTATTACATGTTTACCATTTCTAATGTATTTAGTTTAGTCAATTATTATAGTGCAATGGATAAAATGAAATATTTCATAAATTTTCGATAGATTTTTTTGAACTATTGCGTGTACATTGAATTATATTAAAAGAATTATTTATTGAAAACTTGCTTTCATATTCAACAAGATCCAGTAAATTTGAGAACAACGAATGATATAATAAGAACTGTTAGAATCAAACTCAACCAATGAACAATGTCACATGTTTTATTGTAAAGATGCTAAGGTAATTTTTGTTTTTATCGTATTTGATTCGGAAAAAAAATATAAAAATAACAAAATGAAGACAAGAAATAGCTATGCTCGAAGAAAGACAATGAATCAAGATGTTCAACACATCATCTCTGAGAAAAACATTAAAGATCATTAAATCTTAGCATTAGATAGATCAGACTTGCTGTTTGCTTAATGCAAAAATAAATTGCAAACTCAGATGATTATTTTGAATCTAAAATATAGATTCTACTAAATTACTATCGATAAATTTCTCAATAATAGCTTTACATTAAATGATTGAAACCATAGTTTAAAGATTTAAAAATAGATCTTACAAAGAAAATACTTATAGAAGAATTAATAATAATCTCACAATGTGAAAGAATAAATATTAAAAAAAAAAATAAAATATTAACCGAAAGTTTCTAGACAAAAGATTTGATGACTTTTTGCATCTTTAAATGCATTAGAAAGGAGTGATAAGTAGCCTGTTTAAGTCAGAATGTTGTGCTCTTTCAGAAAATATGATGATAATTTTTCTATGACTTTTGACTATTGAGCTATAAGTGAATCCTGACAAGATTCAAACATTGTTTTATAGAACTTCTTCGACTTTCATCATAATTCTGCAATTTTTTTAGCGGATTCATCGAAACTCTTGATTCTTATGTCATTTTGTAGAGTAGAGATCATCTTCAAGCACTATATATTTATAGAACTTATATAATGTCTACAGGATGAGGCAAGACTTTTGTTTGTCCAGAAAAGGTTTTTCAATTCTGTCAAAATTTACTTATAGTTCAATAATCAAAAGTCATAGAAAACTTTTAAACATATATTCTCAAAGAGCATAATTTTCTGATTATAGTACACTTCTTCTCATTTGTTTCCAGAGCATTTTGGATGCGCGAAAAATAGTCCAATATATTGTGTAAAAACTCTCGGTCCGTCTCTTACAAGTAGTCTATTAGAAAATTTTCTTAAAAATCTGATTCAAATATCTATGAGTTGTATCTAGAAAAAAAATGTAATATCAGTTGTCATCATGCAAAGTTATTCGACGTGAATTTAAATGAAATATGATAATAGAAATAACAGGTACTTAAATATATTTCCATAGAAATATCACAACATTTTCTAAACTTGACAAAAAAAAAAATACTGGTCACATTATTGATGATCGCTAGAGTGCGTTATCCCTTGCATGTTTATTAAGAATATTACTTGATGAGAAAAAATGCTCTCCTTTTTGGTAATTGTTCATAATTTTTAAGCCTCATATTTTTCACTCAATTGAGGATAGTCATTTGAGATATTTTTTATACATGACTTGCTTTTTTCACTAACAATTCGTGACAATTAGTGTTATATATATAAAGATAAAATTATTATTGTCAGAAACAATTTTATCTTCTTAGTTTACGATATGATTACTGAGTTCATTCAAAAGTAACTTGTTTTTTATACCAAAACCTATATAATCATGAAAAGAGTTCAGGAATACAATCACTTTTAAAATATGAATTTTGAGACTTTCATTGTATTTTAACCATCTTCATTTTGTCTTAATAGAATTCATGTAATTTTTAAAGAACTAGAATAATCATTAAAAAAATATGATAATAATATAGTGCATGCTTGTTATTTGATTGTATGAGCTCTATATTATTCTCAAAAGCTTTACTTTTATTGTTTCAGTATGTATAGCAAGAAATGTAATTTCTTATGTTGAGTTAAATTTTCTGCATGTTTTTTTAATTCATACGTGAGACTCGTTTAAAAAATGAATATATATTAGGCTGTATTTCATTGTCTATTGCACTTTCTGTTTAAAAAACAAAGGATCGAGGAAAAATCTCCAGGAGCACTATTGAAAATTCTTTATATATAAAGATTCATTTAGAATTTATTCATGTCATTTTTCTTGATAGAGTTTCAAAATAACATGTCGAACACATCTTTAACAAATACATCAGCAGACCCGATCATCGTTACACTCGATCTTATTCAATTGAATATGGGTCGTTATTTATATCCAATTATTTTTAGTCTTGGAAATATTGGATCAATTCTCAATATTGTAATTTTAACTCAACGAGTTTATCTTCAAAATTCATGCTCATGTTATATTCTTGTTTCATCAGTTATTAATTTATTCATTGTCAATATTATAATTTTTTTTCATATGTTGGCATTTGGTTTCAATATTGATCCAACAACAACATCTTTATTTTTCTGTAAATTTCGACAATATATTTCTCATGTTACTACATTGCTATCAAGAATTTATATTGTATTAGCATGTATAGATCGATGGGCAATGACTTCGACAAATGTCAAACGCCGAGCTTTTAGTCGAGTAAAAGTTGCAAAAATAATCATACCTTCAGTGGGCATTGGTTGGTGTATTATCTCTCTTCATATTCCATTAAATCACTTCATTGTTAATGGTGAGTATCGGATCTTTTGATCAAGTTTAATAGATAAGATCATTTATTATAGTGCTAGATTGTAATGTAATGATCTTTTGTAATACAGTTGTTTGTTTGCTTCATGAGTTTTCTAAAGGAGTGTTGTTTTTTTCTTCAGCTTATATTGAAAACCGATGCGCAAGGTTTTTCTTAAATCAACAATCTATTTTATTCTTTTGATATTATAGGCCGATGCACCGTAGTACTACGCGTTTATTCGATATACTACAATATTTATAATACAATTTTATCCGGCTTTTTGACGCCAATTATAATGATTGTCTTTGGTTTTTTAACTATTCGAAATATTCAGCTGAGTCGACAACGTGTTAATGCTCAAGTCAATGTGAAACAAATACTTGCCAATCAACGACAAAGCAAAACCAATACAAAATCTAGAGAATATGAAATACTTATCATGATACTTATCCAATTAGGAGTTTATCTTATTACATGTTTACCTTTTCCCATGTATTTAGTTTATTCAACTGTTACAATGCAATGGACAAAATCAAATGTTCAATTAGCTCTCGACAGATTTTACGCCAACATTGCTTTTGCATTAACTAATATTAATTTTAGTGCAACATTTTATATATATGTATTGACAACTCGTGTTTTTCGAAAAGATTTAAAACGAATATTAGTAGAAAGACGATTATTTAAGATTTGTTTTGATACTCAATTCGTTCCACCTATTATGAGAACAACCAATGGTACAATTCGAACCGTTGCAATTGTCATGAATCAACCAAAGTCACGTAATATTCAGTCACGAAAATACTGACTATATAATTTTCTTGTTTTTTGTCATTTTATTATGAAAATAAAAATAATCTACAGTCGGCAACAAAAGTTTAATCGAATTTGTTTCGTTCAATTTTTCTTTCACACGAAGAGATACTAATCTGATTCAAATGATGATATCAATAGTAAGAGAAGTCAGCTACATGATGTAGTATTGAAAGGGACTCCATCTATCTGTATAGGTGTTTTATACATTACAATTATTTTTTCCGAACGGAAATAAACTTTATTACTTTCCAGTATATCGCATTTTTTAACCAAGAGATTTGTGCTAAAATGAAGAAATAGACCAGTCGATAGATAATTTCACGCTCTGTCTGTTTGTGAAAGAGGTTTCGTTTTCAGAATTGGTTTTTCATCTCAAAAGCCTGATTCTAATGAGAACAGCGGGGAAAAAATTGACTGTTTTGTCCATCAAAATAATTAAAAAAGAAAAGTTTGCCGTGTTTCTCAAGATCTTTTTCAAAAAGATGGACGTGAGAAATCGATGGTATTGCTTAGAGTAACCCGAAAATAGTAGCAGTGACACTTTATTACCGTACAGTAAGCTTTAGGAAACTTTCGTTTTATATCCAAAGATAGTACAAACAATGCTCTATTTTTCTATGTATTTGATCATTATTCAGCTAGTGTTGTAATAATAAAACTTCGATAAAATCTATTTTTCTGTCATATGTGACGAATTATACCAATGCCTTTTTAAAAGGTAGAGTGAATATTTTTTGAACAACTTCTGATAAAAAAGAGATAAAGAGTTGCGGTTTTCATCGTTCGAAAGAGGGAATGAAAATGCATCGAATCGTGTATTATACATTTTCCTAGTATATTATCTGAATTTTATTTAATTATTTTTCTAAGCGTGAAAGAAAATGGTTTTTCTATATAAAAGAAAACAACAAACAAACTATTTTCACAGAAACGGCTAGAAAAATCACTTAGAGCTTCGACTAGAATATCTATAACTCCTGAATAACTAATCTTAAACATCTGAAAATTGTGTAATTTTGTAGATCTTCCATCGATGATTTGAATATATAGGTAACAATTGAAAAATTATTGTGAACATATCATGCGGTAGCTTTCTTTTCAAAGAAATTGATTGAAAATCTTTAAAAAAATCATGTTAAAAAAACGTATAATTTACCATTTGATGCATCTTTGTCAGCTCATTCGAATGATGAAACCTGCAACTCTCTATCTCTTTTCTATTTGAAGTTATCGAAAAAGTATCCACTCCCCATTTTTTTTTTCAAATAGACATTAGTATAACCGTCACATATGACAGAAGAATAAGTCTTATCAAAAATTTTTTATTTTGATATTAGTTGAATAATGATCAAATACCATAGAAAAATGGAGCATCGTTTCTACTATCCCTGCATTTAAAAAGAAAGTTTCATAAAGCTCATTCTACGGTAATAAAATGTCACTGTCACTATCTGTGAATTGCTCTAAGTAGCACTTTCAATACATCATTTTGTTCAGTTTTGAATTGCTCTTTCCAATGGCATATAATACATGGTAATTGAGGAGAATCTTTAGAAACTAATTTCACTTTTTTTCATTTTTTTCAGTTATTCTTATTAGAATCAAGTTTTTGAGGTAAAGACCAACTTTAAAAACGAAACCTCGTTTAGAAACAGATAAGGACCTGAAATTATCTATAGAATAGTTTATTTTTTCATTTTAGCACAAATCTCTTGGTTAAGAAATGCAAAATACTGGAAAGTATTAAAATGTATCTTCGCTCGGAAAAATTATTTTACTATACAAATAATCTAAATAGACAGATGGAGTCCCTTTCAATACTATATCATGTAGTCGGCCTCTCTTACTATCTATATCATCACTTGAATCAGATTAGTATCTCTTCATGTCAAAGAAAAATTGTAAGAAACAAATTCGATTTAATTTTTCTCGCCGACTATAGTCAAAGATAAAAAATAAGCAACTATATTTTCCAATAAAAAATACAATAGCAGCTATAGATGAACAAGTCTAAAGTTAAGTCTCAATTGCTCTTTTAATTTGACATATAAAATCACTCATTTCTAGTTTTGAATGAAAAACCATTAGAATTAAAATTTATAGTTAAGAAGCTTAAATCTTTAGTTAGTTTGACAAGTAGAGTAATATTGTGTTACTGTTTTAAATATATATGATTTTGATTGTTAACAGTAACTGTCAATCAAACGAGATACATTCCCATAATGTCATCTCGGAATAACTATAAAAAGAAATGGTATTTAAATGAAAAAATTATGCCAACAAAAAACACAGAAGATAAATAGTTGTTGAAAAATTTCGATAGAACATTGCACAAATTTTCAGCACATGTATATATATATATAAATGATTTCAAAGACTGAATAAAATTTCTATAAACTATTATATTGAACAGATTATATGGTGTGAGACTATGTTAATTATTTTAATCTTTGAAAATTATTATTAGTTAAGAGAAGAATGTTTATAAACATAAAACAAAATATCATGTGACAGTCATTTGTGGTTCCTATCAGCTGAAATCAAAATCTATGTCATCTAAGAAATTTTAATTAAACTTCTTTAAGTTTGATATACATTCGTATAATTGAAATAAAAAGACTTGACTAATAATTTGCACCTGTTGCCAATTTTTTTTTTATTTCTCAAATATTAATGTATTCAAAATGACATATCATTCAGGCTAATTATTGTCAAACTTTATCTCCTAATTCGATTGAATGTGTATATTGTAGTTATAAGAATAAGTATTGGTCGTCAATTTGCTCAAAATCTGGACAAATTAGACTATTGTTCATTGTCTGATCATCTTAAAAACAATCTATTCAGCATATTTGCATGTCTCATTGTGGTATTCTTTGTACGTTAAAAAGGTTTAGGAAAATAGCATTAAGTATGAAATCAATGAAACAAATTTGTTCTTGGCTATTCAAAGTAATAATTAGATCATATTTCTGAGCTTTTATAATTTGTTCTTGTTCTACTGTATAGAAATCATATAAATAAAAATGATTCGTTCACTCAATAAGTCCTATTTTCTCATTTATGTCAAAGATTTATATTCGATATAATACACGACGAAGAGTATTAAGATATTTTCTCTATTCTATGTTGTATTCTCATCACAGAATATCTTCAAAATAGTTACAACGGTTATCTTACTACTAATTATAACATATATTTAAGAGTTTAACAAGAATCTATTTAAATTTATATTGTTTTTAAACAGATAAACATAGCGAATTTGTCTGTAGTAGTGAATGTGCCTGATCTAGTGATTGTTCCATTCAATCTTATACAACTGAATATAGGTTATTATTTGTATAGGATTATTTTCGCTGTCGGAAATATTGAGTCATTTCTCAAAATATTAATTCTTCCTCGACAAATGTTTTCTTCAAAATTCATGTTCGTGTTAGATTCTTGCTTTAATTATTGCAAGTTTATTCATTTATTAATATCACTATTCTTTTGCTAGTTTTGAATTTAGATATATATATATATCTTTTGTAATACCATTCCTGTCAATGTTTTTTCTATTCTATATGAGTATATATATGGCTAGACAATGTGTGTGTTTTTTTTAAACAAAACTTTTCAAAGTATGAATTCCTTTATTGAGTCATGCGTGGAACATTCCTAAATGTCAAATCGCTTTTGAGTCAGAACTATGTGCATCATGTAGGATCTAATAAGATATGCACAGTCTGAAAAGAATTCGGACTAATAGCTTATTACTGTCGAGATATTGTATTTTTACTGATGTTTTTAGCAGAATGATGTTGTTCCCCCTAAGAAATACTAGGAAAAGTGAGTTTCGAATTTCGACTTGAAACTTCGAAAAAGAGATAGGTCTTTAAAAGAATAGTTTATTCTGACAGTTTGAGATTTTTTTATGATGCCTATTTTGAAATATGACCATTGAAATTTGCTGTTGCATATGAATGATGTGAAAAACATACTTTTACCATAGTCATATCTTACGATGAAAGAAGTGAAAAGATCTGAAACTTTTACAATAAACTATTTTCATTATGACCTACCACTTTCTAAGGTTTAAGTCGAAATGCGAAAACTTAGTTTTACTGCTGTTGCTGACGTGGGCCATAGTATTCTACTAAATCTTGCAGTAAAAATATAATATCTCGACAGTAATAAGCCTTTAGTTTTTTATCTCTTTTTCGGAGTATTCATAGCTTATTAGAACCTATATGGTTTATATAGTCTCAACTTAAAAGCAATTTGACACATAGAAACGTTCCTTAGTTAGCTTAAGTATTCATCTTCTTCATATTCCTGTGAATATTCATATCATCAATAGCAAATAAATGCTGCTTTTTTCACGTACGTTTATGAAGATATACCTAAAATATAATTAATAATATTTATTACCAATACAGTTAGTTATTAGACCTATGACAATTTCATAATTCTACAAGATGTACGATAGCATTTTAACCCAGGTTTTTCATTCGAATTAAAATAATTACTTTTGACTTTTTAACTATTCAACATGCTACATATGTCCGATAACGTTTTAATTTTTGAGTCAATCAACAAGAAGGCACAATTAATATAACATCTAGAGAATATAAAATACTAAATCATTACACTTGTTCAATTTAATGTTTATCTTATTATATGTTTTCCAATGTATTTTGTTTATGCAACTGTTACAAGTCAATTGACTCTCGATAGATTTTACTCGAATATTGTGTTACCACTAACTGATATCAATTCTAGTGCAGCATTTTATATATACGTATTGATAAATCGTATTTTTCGAAAAAATATAAAACAAGTCCTAGTAGAAAATCAATGATTCAAGATTTCTATTCAACTTTTTCATTGAAAAAAATTAACAACAATAAGAACTAAAGCTATGGCAACACACTAATGGCCAGTATTGATGACTTGAGCATAAATATGCTGAAACTTTGTTCTTTCTTTATTTTTCATCTGTAGAAATAAATATTCGACCGAAAATCAGTGTTGAAGCAGTTTGCTTTATTCTTCACAATTATTAAAATATTGATTATTTTCATCTCAGAAAGCTGCAGATGTCGTACAAATCTCATCTATATAATCGTTAATAAGTAAAAACGATCAAACAATTTCAGCAACGATATAGAAGAAAGGAAGAAAGACATACGGTACTAATATGAGTTGATAGAAATGCACCAATGAAGTCTAAACTAGATATAGTGATACTAAAAATAAAAATATAGGTTTGTATATTTGCTAGATAAGGTTTATGTATTAATCTATGTAATCGATTACTCTACATAAAGTTAGTTTTACTTGTATGATCGCTTCAACTTACAATGAAAAGAATGATTATTATCTCTATTTGAAATTATTGATAAGGTACAATGTTTGCGATTAGTCATTCAATATAGACAGGGTCTTGAATATGATTAATGAGACGAAAAATATAAAAATAAGACGATTAACAAATAGAAGAATATATTAAACGTCGTTGAAAAAATTTCTTTCTTTCTGTTCGTGCAGCTTATATCATTTAATGAGGACTAGTACAATCAAATGACAGCGCGACTAAACTCCTCTATTTACCTTCTTTATTTAAATATATACATATGTCTCCTATGTAGCTTTCACCATTATTTGTTTCGTTTTTTTTAATACCTATAGTAACCATGGTCAAAAAGACAGAGCGCATAGGTCATTTTTTTCTATTGGATAGTTAACCTCAACCTAAAACAAAATAAACCATACAATTTCTTTTGCGTTCACCAATATGACTTTATCAGTTAAGAATCAATGACATTTTTTTTATCATCTTATTGTCATTCGCATATATCTTTTCTTGCAAGATCATTAATATTTATATTATTTTCTCAACGATTTATTCCATATAATATGGCAAATTCAAGAGCATATATTCCTTTACATGCTCTCCGTAAAATTGATATACAATCAATACTTAATGTTGCTTTTCCATTGTTAAGTAATGAGGAAACTCAAAGACGATTTGATTATCACCATAGTCGTCGAACAATGCTTTATTTTTTATTATCAATGTATAATACACCAAATAATGAAGAAATAATTGATTCAATAAAAAAATATTCGTCGAAAATTGATTTATCACGTATTGAAAAAGATTATACCTATTTAAAAAATATGATTGAACCATATAAAGTAGAACATCGCGCTGAAAATTTTGATGATTATTGGGAATTAAAGAAAGCAGCGAATAGACCAGGTCCAAGACAATCATATGAACATATATTAAAATATCGTCAAGAAGGTTTTCAAGAAAAGGAACTTAAACTATACTGGAATTATGATCAAATTCGAGATCTAAATAAAAACGATTGTTTTAATCCAAGCACAGATAGTGATACAAATGATGCTCTATTACAATCACCTGTTAATACACGTCAAAATTCTGGAATAATAAAATTTGTTCAAGATGGCATTGAAAATGCTGTTTTTCAAGTTCCAGAAGGCAAACAAGTTATTGTTCTTGATTTTGCTGATGAACGTATGCCTGGTGGTTATTTTCTTGAGAATGCTCGAACACAAGAAGAAGTTTGTAAAATATATAAAATTTAGTTTCAAATTTTTTTACTTTTGTCAACTTCATATTTTAGGTTATTCTATATCATTCTGATGGTTATCGTGCATTATTAGATTTAAAATATAAAATAATGGATGGAGGTTATATGTTACCTGAATATGGTGTAGCTTATATCAAACGAGTACGATTTTTCCGAGATACACATTCAGAAGGACGTGTTACAGATTTAATAGTTGCTGCTTGTAAGTCTTTTGAATTATAATACGAGTTAATTGAATTTCCTATTCCTTTTGTTTGTCTTGCTTAAGACTACTAGGATTTGATTTTTTTTTTTTTTTGATAATTAATATACAGCAAGAAAGTAAGGCTTCACATAACATCGCGTGATATACAAATCATGAATAATACATCAAGTTCAGAGAATAAAAAAACACATCATACAGAAAAAGATGTGCACAGTTTTTACTACAATATACAATGAGAGTAAATCGAGTTTTTGTCTCTCCTTTACTTTTGTACCTATGAACATGAATCAGAGTTATAACCGATCCGACCAGTCTTGATTAGTTTCTAATGAATAGAAAATATTTTATTTGTCATTTTTCTCTGATATAATTTGTTGACAGCAACTTTGTTTGCTCATATAAAAATACTCAAACAGTATTGTTTCAAGAACTATCAATTTTGTTTTTTTTTGTTCATCCACATTGTTTTATTTCCTTAGTCGAAATAGATTTTATTTTTTAAAAAGCTCAATCAAAACTGTGTTACCTGAGCTAAACTTATATCATATATATTTTGATAAAGATCAAATTTGTATTTTGGATCATCGTTTGAAGAGAAACGGTAGTTCAGCAATCAGTTAATGGTTAAGCAATTCTGTTTTCTGCGTTATATATAGAAATATTATATATTCATTTTTGAGAAACTTGACAGATATAACCGACTATAACATGATATAAAGTCTGAGTGTAAAAAAGAAAATGAATATTCTTTGAAGCTATCTCCATTAACTGATTCATAATGATGAAATAAACCAGTCAGCTTTCACCAGTCTAACAAATTTGTTGAAGCAACCGGGCAGAATCGGTTCAAAAATTCTTCACTGATTACAACTCTGACATATATATCACTTCCATTGTTGTCTGAATATTCAAAGATTCATTTTCTTTTTATCAACCTCTGTATTTAGATAAATACTCCGACAGTAGTTGAAATAATATTTATTCATCCATGCAAAACTAAAAGGAGGCTATGCTATTTTTGTTTCTGATATATTTTGTTGTTGTCTGAACTGTATTTATTATTCATGATTAATATATGAAGTGATGTAGTGAAGTCTGTAATTTCTCGCTATATATTAATTAGTGAAAAAAATATCAAGCTGAAGTAGCCTTAAGCAAGAAAAATAATGCAGAGGGAAACTCAATTGAGGCACACTAGTAAAATAGCATGAATCGCTCTTATCTCAAACGCATATTATTCATTGCTTTGATATTCAATAACAACATCAATAATTCATCTTCAAGAGAAAAAAAAGCGTATTTCTTCGTTATGAAATATACTTTTTTTCTCTCTTAATGATGACTCGCCTACTTAAAACGTTTTCATTTTGATTGATGTTGAATATGTTAAAATATCTTCAGGCGATGAAATCTTTCAGTTTTCAATAGATATGTCACTTTAATTTTGATATAAGAGTTGAAGTTAAAGTACCTTCTTGAACTTTAAATGTAAAATTAAAGTATTCTTTTTTTATAGAAAATTTTTTTCTTCTCTTAATTTATTATTAATTCTTGAACGTTTTTAGTCTCATCTGAATTCTATAGAAGGTTATTTATCAACGAAATAAATCAAAATTAAAGTAAATAAATCTGAAAAGTAGAGTTTTTGTCTATAAAAATTTTAAGCTTGACTTTGCTCAACAATCTTAGCTACTTCTCAGCTTTAAAAGTCTATCTATCATTGATTATGAAAAAACCAAAAAAGAAAACTTTACTTATTTTAACTTTGAGTCTCATGTTATAGTTAATGAACTATTTTTAATTTAGAAACAATAATAATAAAATCAATTTTTTTAACTTATCTGATAACTCAAAAGTCATTTTACCAGAAAGAAAATTAATAGCTCAGTTACAGACTGATCATGTGAGTTGATTTATTTATATATACGTATTCATAAGAAAAAACATTAATAAGAACTGTATTGAAATATCACTTGAAAAAATTCAATATTCTAAAGCTTTTAAAAAATGGCATAGCAGTCAGCAGAAAAAGATGAAACTTTAGTACTTAAAGGATATGTGAAAGGTACCCTCTAGAACGTCTTAGCTATTTCAAGTCTACTATGAGCTGGTGTCGTGAGCATATTTGTTTGGGTACATTTACTATAACCCTATATGCCAATAAAGCCCGAATACGTCAATGTACTTCAAGATTTGAGTATCAGTGAAGTAGGTTGAAGTATTTTGGCTATAATGATAGATAGACTTATGTCAAATGCACTCCAGCTACTATGCTTATGATATTCGTTCATAGTAAACTTGAAATAGCTATAAAATTCTAGAGGAGAACTTTGAAGTATAGGATTTTCGCTTCTTTCTCCTTACATAGTACTCATAAAAGTCAATTTATTGAAAAGTCATAAATTTTTCTCTTCTATCTCTTTTTTGACATTGAATGCGTGTCATCCTTTTTTATTGATAATAATAAAGTCATCACTTTTGACATATTAACATCAACATACTCATTTATCTTCCAAAGAAATAGATGAATATTCAAATTTTTTTAAAAATCTAAAAAATTTATATTTTTCTAAACATTTAAAACCAAATTATTGAATCTGTTTATAATTAAAATATTTAATTTTCTCTTTGGTAAAAATATTTCGAACTTTCTTGGCTTGAATTCGATTCTTTTTCCTTAATAGAATACATAAACACTAAGCAAAAAGTATTAAAACTCATCAAACTACACATACATCGTATATGGTTTTTTTCCGACAAATTTAAGTTTTTTCTTTTAATAGGTTACGATTTATCTGGTATGGGTGAAGGTTTATATAAACCACCATCATATGAAAAAATCGAAGATTTGCGTGATCGTACATATAAAAAAATTCAAGCTATTATAGCATCAGCTGTTGCTAATACTGAAGGAAATGGTAAAGATACATATTTATTATTAGGACCTATTGGTACTGGTGCATTTGCCAATGATATAACAATGATAGCTGAAATATTTTCAGAAATATTAAATGGACCATTAATGGATTCTGAAAAACCTATACGCTACGCATTTGATAAAATTTGGTTTGTATCAATTGATAATCTGGATGTATTTGCTGATAAATTTAAAAATGAAATATAATTTTTTTTTCGAAATAAGAATTATGTCATAGACAGTACAAACAATCTCACTAATAACATCTATTTGACACAAGATTTGTCTTCTGTCATTATTGTTTTGCAAAAGAAAAAAGAACACATTTAAATATATCAGTTAAACATAAAAGAACACAAAAAGAAAATTGTATTATTGTCTTTTTTATGTTTGGTTTACAAATTAAATATATTCTGTTGTATAATATTTATTGGCATCTTTTTTTAATATCACGTGTAATGGATTGAATTGTGTTGTTTTACGTGGTATTGTTTCAATATTATTTGTTTCATGTGAAAGTAATGGTTGTCGTACATTTGATGTTCGTCGTGATTGAGATGCACTACTAGCTATTGATCCACCACCAATTGTTCCTTCATTTTCACTCATTGTAGCATCAATTAAATTTGAATAGGCACTTTTAACTGTTTCATCGAAATGTTTATCATTTACAAATGGACTTAATAAAACTTCTTTTTCTTCCGGTAATACATCTATTGTGACATTATTCGGAACAACAATAGCAGATAATACTGTATTTGTTGTATTTGTAGGAGTAATTGCTGAATGTTCACTGAGTGGATTAATAACAACAGTTACAGGAGGAATTGAATCGGATTTATCTGGTAAATCAATGCCATAAATTTTTGGTGGTTCAACTGGTGAAACTGTTGGCTTAGTTACAGATTGTACATCATCATTTAAATCAGCACCATAAATACCACTATCAGCTGCTGTTAATGATGGTTTAAGTGCTGATGGTGCTGATGATGTGGCTACAGCTTCTGAACTTGTTGAACTTGTTTCTTTGCCTGTTGTTCCTGTATGACCTGCTGTTGTTGGTGTTGTGGGTGTTGTTGCTGCTGCTGTTGCTCCAGGAGAGGATTTAAAACGAGAACTATTAACATCAGCTATTTGTACTGTTCGTTCGGGTACTAATTTACGCTTTGTTGCTATTGCCGATGTTGTATTAGTTGGTTGTTCAAGAAGTGGAATTTTATCCATTGTTTTTGTACTTGGTTTCAGTGCTGTATTATTTGCAGATGTTGTAGGTGATATATTCTTTTTTCCTGTAGTAGTTGATGGTGACGATGTAGTAGATTTTGACGCTGCAGTTGGACGTCTACGTCTAAAGAAGTAAAGGTAGATGATCATGAATACTTGTTTTCTTTATATTTAGAAAAAAAGATTACTTTTTAATAAAAAGGAATATGCCTATACCAACAACTATAGCAATAACAAGAACGATTACACCAGCAATAATACCGATAATAATTTCTTTACAAAAGAAAAACTTGTTTTACTTTAAAAAAAGATATGTTTGACTGTGTACCTTTTTTTATTGTTTGTTTTGCTACTGTTCCATTTAAATTTTTCATATTATTGTCTTCAATTGCTGGTATAGCTATTGTTGTTGATAAAATAGTTGTTGATTTTATAACAGGATGTATTTGTGTTTCAGATAATGAATCATATGCAATACCTTCTTGATCATATTGTGGACGTGTCATTGATGGAACAACTAAAGAAAATAAAACTTAATTTTAATTATGTAAATGAAAGCTTATCAATAGTTGACCAAAGGACTTTCTCCTTTTCTATTAATCTAACAATAATAATAATCAATTTTCATGATAATTATCTATATACCTTTATATCGAATTTTAAAATATCTTGCTTTTTTTGATACAGATGTTTGTAATGACATATATAATGAATTGGACGAAATAAGATAACGTGCATTAGGTAATTGATTATTTGTTGAATGTTCAGCACCACACCATGTATAATAGGATTTCCAAATATTTTTAGAATTTTTATTTGATACCATATCATCAGGAAAGGAATTATTTGATTGTGAATTAATGTATCCAAAAATTTCTAAGTATTCTGATCGACATTTAATTGCTTCGTGTAAACGTATTTGGATTGGTGCTAATTCAATATACATTGATGGACCCGCCTCTAAAGATGCGAAAAAAATATATATTGTGTTTAATGAAGCAAAAAAAGTAATCATACCAATATTAATGGAACATGTGAGATTATCTGCCATTGGATGGGGATAAGCTGGTGAAACAATAAATCCGTAAAGCGTATTTCGGATAGGAGCTGTATCTGTACACATTGTATAAACTAATTATAACAAAAATGAAACTTTCTTATTATCTATTTTCTTTCCTAATTACTTTGTGTACAAGTATATTTCACAAAAAAATATGTTGGTACATAAGCTTTATCTCCACATTTTACATAATTTCGACTAGATACTTCAATTAAACATGTTTGATTTCCTTCACATAATGATCCATCAATTAATTCTTGACAATGAATAAGATAATCTGAATGTACATCAGGTTCACACACTTGTGTACGACGATAAACTTTAAGTATTGTTATTTCAGTTAATAAAGCGGTTTCATCTGGACAAGATAATTGATGATGACCTTCTTCGGTTATACACCAAAATTTATCATATGTTTTTAATGAAACTTTAAAAAAAAAAATTCTTTTTGTATTATTCTTAAATATTAATTAATATGTCTATTACGACAAAGAAAAAAAATCTATGCTTATCCTTGAGGAACTCAACTGATCTTATCATATAATCGAAAATAAATTGTTTTGTAGATAAGCGAAAGCTTTTGTTGAATGACTTTTAATCATCAGTAATGAAGATAAATGAATATTAATTGATAAGCCTCTATATTTATATGGAAAATACATATGCATTTGAATGTCACATAAGTGTTCGTTAAGATAGGGTTTCTCAATCTCATTAATATTTAGTTCTTCATCTTACTATTTCAATGTCATTGAAGACAACATATCATCATGACTATGAATTAAGATCATTCATAGCATGATGACATTTTGAAAATAACTAATAACGAAAAAAAATAGAAAATTTCCCTTGATGATAGATATTTCCTTGAAAGATTTATTCTTTTAATGCAAGGCAATTATGACACATACCTAATTGAAAACAACAGTACAAACTGGTGACAATTGCCAGAATGCACTCAGGCCGAAGCCATACCACCATCCTACATTGGATGTATATCTGTTGTGATCTTAGTTGTTTTCAATTATAATTGTAATTATTACCATGATGACTATCAATGATAAATCTCTATTGTGTAATTAACATCTGAAATAAAACAATAATATATAGGATAACGTACAAATTATAACGATGATAGACATTTATTTTTTTATCTTGCCAGTGACACCATGGCTATTCCATCTGACAATAAATTATACTATCAACTATTATATTGTTCTCTTGAGTATACATGTACATATGAATATATACGGAAAAAAAGAACTTATTTTGCATTATCTTCAGGAAAGAATCATACTTATTCTAATACTTCTACACGTGTGAATATGGCAAATATAAAACATGGAAATAAATTTCTGAAAGTATATATTTGTTTATACAATGAAAAGAACACATTTACATATCTTACCTAGCGACAATGGGATCATCGTTAATTTTCCCTATTCAATATGATTCAATGCATATATGCTTATATACATTAGAGCTACGTGTCCATCTCGATTATTTGTCCTTGTAGCAAAATCATTTACAGATCTCTCATATTCCTTTCTTTCTGCATATTCTCAGTTTCTGCTCGTTTATTATGACAACATACTGATGGATCGATGTTACTGTTGCCTGCTATCCTTAATGCTGCACATATTTATACATATATATATGTATGTGTATATAGTCGTCCCGCCTTATTCTAACCCGTTCTGAAAGCAATCATGATAATGAGTCGACGAGTTATTTTGATTACATAGTAAGGCTTCGACTTCAGACGGTACATTCATTTTCTCTTATGGTGATACGTATTAGTATTCTATTGCAGCGAATTCTATACATTCTTAGCCGTCATTTTCTTGTCTATCAAAGACGACAAAGATGAAAGATGATCATAGGGAATGAGTATCTCGTTTTTTCCTTTTTAGTATATCTCGGGCTAACCTAACAAACAAATAAACAAAACAGAGACATCGATTTAGGTTGCCTGCTTGCCTGCGCACAGATGAAAAAACCATTTTTATAAATACATTAAGCGATTTTATCCTATTGTGCACGCACGAACAGCGATAATCATCGACTGATGATTCTGTGAAACGATGACCACGATCATGATGATGTTGATGATAATAATAATAAAAATAATAATAATAATAATAGTAATAATGAATATAGTAATAGTAGTATAGTACTAATGCTACTGTCTGTCGATTTCTGTCAATTTATATTATAAATTCAAATTTGAAGAAGATCGATGCCAGATTCTCTACATTTTGCTATGAATGCAGATGTATGTCAGAAAAGGAAACGTGTGTTTACATATTTATTTTGCATGTGTGCCTATATACATGACTTTATGCATATGTGAATGAGAAATTCTAGCCTTTTCTCCGAACTCAGTATCTACAATGATGAAATATAAATGTATAATGACAATCAATGACATATACATTCCAGGTGTATATAAAATATCATGACCGGTAGCGGGTCCATGTTCCTATTATTATTCATTTTTTTTAATATTTTTATCTTTATCTATTAATAACTTTGCTTTTTTTCTTAATATAAGAAACAAGTTGATAGAATAAATAGATACATACAAATATTTTTACACTTGTCTTTTCTTGTTCACAAATAAGTGATGGTTGCCCATTGTGGCGGTTGAAAATAATGTATGGTAGTGTTAGTGATGAGGGTGCCGATAGAGCAGAGAGAGAGAGAGAGAGAGAGAGAGAGCGAAAGAGAGAGAAGGAGAGACAAGAAAAGATCTTTTCGAGCCGTGCATGCGCGGTTACTGCAAGAGGATAGTCAAAAAAAAAATGCTAGAAAAAGAAAAGTAAGAGAAGAGAAAGAATTTATTCTTTCTTCTGTTTTTCACGCCCGGAAGGACGACGAGAGTAATGCTGGCAGAACAGAAAGTAGAATGGAAAATCAATGTGTCGATCCTAGGAAGAAAGAAGAAAAACTATAGAAAAGGAATTGTTCTCATCATTCAAATATCTTTATATACAAACAGACATTCATCAATATATTATATATATACATACATAAATATATATGTAGATACATATTTCCTTAAAAAAATTAACCATCAAAATGAAGAAAAAATATTTGCAAAGCTAATCATAAAAAAAAATATAATACCAAAAAAAAAAAACTTTCAAATTAGAAGAATGTCAGTCACGCAAATTTATTATGTATCCTTGATGAGATGTCTGTATAAGAAGAGATTTAGTTAGACTAAGACAACTTAGTTTTGAAAAAAAAGGGAAGAAAAGGAAAAGAAGTAAACACATACACAAAGTCCAATTAGAGCCGAATGATACTGACATCCGTTCTAACCTTGTTTCTTGTCGGAACACCGTAGAAGAAAAAAAACGGAAGGATGGCACTATATGAAAAGTCGAGAACGAGAGATTGTGTGTGTGTGTGTGTGTGAGAGAGAGAGAGAGAGAGAGAGACGTAACATGAAGAAAAAGATGAAAGAAAAAAAATTGAGCGTATGCATGTGAAGGCAATGAATACTTCAGGCAAAAAAGAAAATTCTTTTAATATTAGTATACTTAGAATGAATAATTTGTAGAAATAAGAACATATCGAAATCAAATGCATTTCTCTTCTTATACACAAAACACTAAAAATAATAACAAGATAATCGACATTGTCACCAAGTAGCTGCCGATTGTCAAAAGAATTTTCTTTTTTTTCCTCTTCGACGACCATGTTATTTTGCCTTAGCGAAATCTCCTGAGAACTAAATGTTCGTTCATTCATCGATGCATGCGATCTCCATACAGTAGGAAAATAAAACCATTGTAATGATAGAGATCTTCAGCGTTTTTTTGTTTCTATTTTCCTACGATATCAATAGTAGTTGACGAATAAAAAAAATACGCAAGTATGTTTCATTGATCGATAGGCTATTCCAAAATACAAAAAAGAAAAAAGAGCAACTAGCCTTCATTCGTCAATCAATTCTTTCTCTTAGTAGCTCATCGAACAAATCATCAGCAATACGAATAATGCAATGGTGACGACGACAATAAGAATCGATCAAAATTATTTTGTCGTATTCTACGGCTCTGTTATATTTCTTTCCATGTCTGTTTTATTTTGTGAATGAACGCATATAACAAATACGAAGAAAAAAAAAATAAGGCGCTAAACACAATGCTGACAATAAATTTATGGGTCGTTCGCCATACAATGACGATGATAGTCCTAATATCGCTTCCGAATGTATCAAGCAATATGTAAATACAAGAGGACATCTCTATCCATGGAAAGAACCGCGGCTGCTGCCGCTGGCTAGTTACTTGCTCAAAAATATTGAACTGCATACATACATTATCGACGAGTCTCGTTCTCTCGTCCTTCTACTGGTTCATTCTTGTTAACACGCTAATTGAGAGGCGGGCGACGTACAGTGGGCTGCAATTCGAGAGGTTCATTTTGCCTTTTTTGCTAAAGACGAGTGAGAAAGAAAGAGCACGAGTGAAGCGACTGAGGATAGTAAAAGGAGAGTGCGCGTCAAATAATCGATTCTGGCTTTGGCCCTCTCATAAGAACGTCTAAATCCGCACAGACCTTCTACCAGTAGCAAAAGAAGAAAGAAAAGAAAAAGAAAAAAAGAGGGAGAGGATACAAAGAACTCTGATTCCTCTCGTGACAAATTAGTGAGTGCAGTGTTGTGTGCGACGAATGCTCGAAGATTATTGATGTGTGCATTTGTTTGTTGATGCAATGGCACACGCACGCTTATATTCGGTTGTCTTCATTCTCGGGTGTATTATTTTTGTTCAACTTATAATTTTAGACAAATCGAAAGTCTATATATACATATATATGAGCGCATGCATGCAGGTTTTGATTTCCCAAATGGCATAGAAGAAAGTCAAGTGACACGTAAGAACAAAGTGTCTTTCTATTAAACAAAACCAATTATCGCTCCAATTCTATGATCGGTTCGTTTCATCATTGATTAATATTTATTATCTTGTCTCTTTTTCTTGTTAATAAGCTAATACTTATAAATGAGAATATTTCGGAAACAATATGTATATATATATATAGATATATGAACACAAATCAACAAAATGAACAAAAGAAAAAACTGCAAGAATAAATATCTATGTATAATATATATATATATATATATATATGCTAGGAAAAAGCAACAAGAGAAAAGAAAACAAACTAATTAAAAGGAACAATTATTATGTTTTATTTGGTTCGTTGTCTAAATAAAATTAATAACTTAGATCTTCTTTGCGACCAAATTTCAGAATTAATGTGCTAAATAAAAAGGAAATTAATAGAAAATGAAAATAAAATGAAATAAGAAAAGATAATAACAAACCTGATGAAAATAGCCAGATTCTGACTGAATATAGCAATTCCTGGGTAAAGTTTATCGCTTTTATATGGTACATAGTAGCCAAATAATACCCAAGCACCACCAATTACAGAACCAAATGCAAGTAGAAATGCAATGAAAAGAATAATGCGGGCACCTACACATAAAATTTCTCATCAAATATCTATAATAAAATGAAAACAAAAAAGAAATAATATACCGAATTGACCAACACAACTGTCACCGTATCCATCACCTCTAACTTGCGAATTTGATACAGAATTAACCCTGATATAAAAACCAATGAAAAAAAAAATAATAGCTTACAGAACATATCTCATTATAAACTTACAAGATCAGTGCAAATGTGCCGACAGAACCAATGATATAAAATACTTTATTAAAATCAGCCTGCGAAGTATATTGACAAGTGCTATCAATGATGATCCACCAACCAATTGCAAACTAAAATATGACAATTAAAAAAGGTAAAAGAATTGATCTATTTTGATTCATTTCATACAATAACACCAGCCAAAATTGATGCAATCGTATTTCGATTGAAACGTTCACGTAAATCAAGATCTTGACAACAATTACCGCAGTCGAACATTGTTTGAGTATAAACTAGTAGCTAAAGAAAAAAGAAAAATGTGATCAGTTGCTAGTCTATTGACACATTAATTTCATATGGATATTTATTTGACCCAATCCAATTATATTACAACTACGCATCAGACAAATGTCTTGTAGCGCTCGTATGAAATGAAAAAGAGGCAAAAGGAAATTACTTTAAAATGGCGAATGTCAAGGATGTTTTTTTGATCTTATTTTATTAATATAAATCATAAAAAAATGTCAATATTCTCAACAATTTTACCTATTATTCGATCAGTTTTCTCACGATGGACAGCATTACAATTATCTGTGAGTCATTCAATGGGTGGTCCACAAAGTGAAGCGAAATATGAAGCATTTATTGAAGCATTTGGTCAATATCTTGTACGAAATGTTCGACCATCATTAACTATATCTGCTATGGAACAAGATATTCAAGAATATCTTGATGAAATACTCGATGAAGAATTTAATACAATTTTAGATGATGGTTCAAGTAATGAATTAGCAAAATTATTTATTCGTTATATTCAACTTATTCAGGAAGGTAAACTAGTTGATGTTCAACAAGAATTACAATTACAACAATCAACTACACCTGCAATACAAATGTCTGTTCGAAATGAAAATGAAAATGATTCATCATCATCTGAAGATGATGATGATGATAATGACAATGAAAGGGATAATAAAATAAGAGAAGAAGAACAAGAAGAAGAATCTACGAATGAAACGAAATCACAAGCAATGGATGTTGATGAAGAAGGTTGGGTAACTGTTCGTCGACGTACTGGAGGAAAAAAATAATTGTTTTTGTCTTAGTCATCCTTACATGAAAAGCACTGAAATATAATAATATTATCGGACAAAAAAAAGAAAGAAAATTAAAAAAAAATCAAATTTTTCTTTTTATTTGCAATATGATGAAGTTTAACCTGTGGGAGACTTAAGACAATGAGTTCACACTTTTCTATTTCTCTTTTGAATAAAAATATAATACTTTTTATTAAACGAAGCTTAATATAGCTTCGAATACTTTATGTGAATCTCAGTGAGATTTCACAATGATAATGAGATAATATCGATAATTAGTATTTTATTTTTCTAGATGGGTATTTTTCGTTTTGGAAATGCTGATTATTCGATGTACTTTTTTGTTGCATCAATCCTCATGTTTCTCAGTACTCTATGTTGTATAACAGCATTTGCATCACCCTATTGGACAAAACGTTATCTTGATACACCAAAAGATTTTCAAAACATTGGATTATGGGAATTATGTTTATATAAATATCGTCATTATAAAGATGATTTACAAATTCCTTATTCTGGTTGTTTTTGGTTTTGGACTAATGAAATGTATCGTTTTCGTGATTGGATTATTCCACGTAAGATTCTTTATGAAATAAAATAAAATAATTCAATTTTATTTAATAGCCTGGTTTAAATGGGTACAGGCATTTGCTACATTAGCATTCATTTTTACAATAATGACAATTTCAAGTTTAGCTGTAGCAGTTTTTTCATCATTTCGTTGGCAATGGAAATATCAATTAGCTTGGTGTATTATGTCTTTTGTTATATGTAAATATTGATTAAATAATCATGTTTGTATTTTTACTAGTTCTTTTTCAGTTGCTTTTGAACTCATTGCTATTACTATCTATGGTATCTATAGTCAAGATCGTCTTTGGATGCCAAGACCAGAATTTAATTATTTATCGTATAGTTATTGGATTGAATTTGCTGCACTTGTTTTAGCTTTGGGTGCTTGTAAGTTTTAATTTATTAATAGATTAAGTTTCAAAATTTATTTATTATTAAATATTAGGTGGATTATTTGCTGGTGAAGTTCAATTTCTTCGAGCACCCTATGAAGGTGATGTTGAGGATAAACAATATAATGATGAATACGGATATGCACCATCTAATGGATCCCATATGCAATTAACTTATGGACGTAATCGTAAGCCGCAATCTGATCTATAGTTTTGCTGTATATGTGAGTTTCTTGATATGAAGAAAACATTCCGTTTATTTTCCTCTCTTCTTTCTAATACATTCCATAATAAAGAGTGTTCTAGAAGTTCCGAAACGATTTTAAAATTCATCGTACTTGCATTCACTAAATGCAAATTCTTTGTAACTTTGTCAAATTATTGTATCCACTTAATACTAAATAGATACAAAGTTTCAGGTCTATAGTTTTTACTATGGATGAGGAACTGTAATAGCATTATCGTGCCCTATTTTATCGAATTTCTCAATCTGCTTACTTAATATTTCTAAATCGAAACAACTTGTCAATCTTCGTGTATTTGATTGTCATCATAATTAATTACTAATTTTAGTAGTGCTGATATTTTATTTATGATTCGTTATTATAAAGGAACACTAATTTTTTTTCATTTATCTCTATTCTTGTTTTTCAGTTGATCAGTATTCTTGCAATCTTGCCCTCGTAATTTTTCTTTTATTGTACTATAAATGTCTTCGATAGATCAAGTGTTGGCTAGTTTTATGTCATAATTTTCTTTTTATTCTGTTTAATCGATAAAAACATGTTCAACAATATTTAAAACCACATGCATCGTCTGCTTATGAATTTGATGACCATAAGTAATTACATTTCGTAAATCGTCTGATTTTTAGCTGCTTTTTTTTTACAAGAGCTCAAATGAATTTCACATATCCATTATCAGTAAAAATACGTTTTCTGATGATGATCACCATCTTATGAACAGATGAACTCCTACCGTTCATCGATAGAACTTGGAGGTTGCTTAGGAAAAAAAGTACATGAAAATGCTGTTACATTTTCTCATTCATAGTAAAAGCTATATACAGAAAACTTTGTATTTATTTAGTACTAAGTATTACAATAATCTGCCAGGTTTGCAAAGAGTTTGTTTTGCTTGAATGCAAGAGCGATGAATTTTAAAATCGTTTCGGATTTTCTGGGATACTCTTTATATGTTTGTTTTCTTTTTTATACTGTATATTTGACGTTTGCGTTAATTTCTCGTTAATTGCTATCTCAGTTCCTTTTTTAAT